AGAAAGGGATCGGTGGCTAGAGGGAATGCAGACAAAGACTGCTCTGGAAAGCTATAGATTAAACAAAAGAGTTATTGCCAAAGAAAGCATTTATGACAATTCTAGGGGAAGCTCATTGCTGTTTGAGGCAAGAACGGGTGTTCTGCGAACCAGAACATACAGAGTGAAGTACCAGGAAATGGATACAGTGTGCATTGCTTGTGGAGAGGAGGACGAGACGGCTGAGCACTTGATACTCTACTGCAAAGGGCTTCACCCTATGCCTACCGAAGACAACATAGATTTAATAAAGTCATTGGGTTTTAGAGACAGCGAAGGGAGAGTGGATTTCAAGACTGTAGAGATTACCAAGCAAAGATTAAGTGAATGGTGGCAGAAATCGAGAGAAAACTAGGTATTTTCTTATTCACTGATGGCAAGGGGGTTTCATAGCCTCACTTTCTTTGCACTGCGGAGTGAATATAGATTTCACATTTAAATATTCTAAGCTTAAATGGTAAAACAAAATGGCTAGGTGGCGTAAGCTACCGCCCGATCCAAAGGGCTCAGCCGTATTCATCCATCCATCCATCCATCCACTCTAAACGAGGACACACGGAGGACAATGGGGACACAACCATCGGGACATGATAACTATAATTGTTTGATGCATGTACTTGGTAGATTATATCAATTGTACGAACTACAGGGGGCGCTCCTCTAGCTATCATCACCATCGTGTGTGACGGGCGGCGGAGAAAAGCTCACCGGAGAAAAGCTCACCGGAGATAAGCTCACCGGAGAAAAGCTCACCGCAAAACCGGCAGATGCGGAGAAAAGCTCACCGATTTTTTTTTTTTAACTGTGTCCTCTTTCTTGTAATATTCTTGAAGGTCATTGGGCATATTTGGTAATTCCTCAGAAATTAGTAATCATCCATTTTGTATATCAATGAAGCCGCAAAAATGATATCAGAACATTGTACACCGGTAAAACAGACAACAATTTATTGACAACTGAGGGTGCGCCGTCGGTAGCTCTGTCAAATAAAGAGGTTTGTTCTGTGTGACCTAATATGAATAGCGGTGTGTGAACCGTTTCAGCTCCAAACATTCTGTAGTGCCTAATAGTTAGGTAGGTATTTGTTGATGCAGTCAGTGTCGGCTACGTTGTTTTCTTTCTGTTAATTTCACTAAGAAAACTTTAGTTGCGAGAACAGCTTCGTCCTTTCGCGTTTGTTGTCTTCACTTGGTCGTCGTCGTTTGAGCGGTTTTCATGTATAACGTTCACCAACTCGCCCTATTCGCTACTTTACAGAAGACTATTTCTTATATAGGTCACGAGTAACAACGGTGCCAATGTGCAGCTCTGAAAGTCATGAGTGGCTCACTTTAGAAGGGCACTATCACACAAAGGCAACGTGCGGAAACACCAGCACGAACGGCTAGAAAACGTGTATGTCCGTGGAAGAAAGAAGCCTCGATATCCTACTAACTGTTTTATCCTGTTTTCAAAGGTTAATAAAAACTTCAAAGAGAATTTCAGGCACCGCGTTGTTGCGCATGCACTTTCGGATTTTCGGTGTTTACTGTTTTCATTTTTAGGTTTCAGGGAGACTTAAGTTTTCGAACTCTTTCATGTCACTCAAGTTCATAAAATTTTCAGTTAAGCTTTAGTTGCCTAGAGGGTAAGCCAAAGAAAACACTGGCCCGCCATTATTAATTTGGGAGAAATATACTTAATAAGCTTGGCAAATAAAACAAAAACGGACATTTTCTTTTCGACAAACCTGACGAACTTTAGTGATAATAAATTGATATATGTTACGCATGATCCAACAGGCTCCATAAGAAATAAGAAAAAAAAAATCGGTGACCTTTTCTCCGCATCCGCCGGTTTTGCGGTGAGCTTTTCTCCGGTGAGCTTATCTCCGGTGAGCTTTTCTCCGGTGAGCTTTTCTCCGGGATTCGTGTGTGACGCCACAGGTAGGACAGACTGGGAGTCTGGGATAGACCGCGCAGATCTTGGATCAGTCGGCTCGTCAGCTCGCTTCATGCGCTGTTTGAGTAACGTGCAGCAAAGCCCGTTTCACATGTGTTTATTTGGCAAAGCGATATTTGTAGTAGGATGTAGTAATTCCTCGGTAAATCCTCGTCGCCAAAATGTAGCATTGAAAGAAAACGCGGACACCCGAGAAAATAACGAAGAGCAGTGCCTGCGTGGGCCTGCGAAAAAACGAGGGGTCTCACATGCCGAAGTGGTGACCGGCGAGCCGGGCGCGGGAGCCCCGGAAGGTGAGAGAGGCACGTCCGATGCGGTCCGTGGTTGAAGCGTAACTCCGTTTATTAACGGTAAACAAATATGGAGGTAGAGCGCCACGGGGACGCAACCCTAACAACACGGCGCAATGGTGGAGAGTGGCGTCATCTAAATAGCGTGTAAAGAACTTGTGAAAAATTAAAATACTACATGGGACATTTTACGAAAGTTTGAAACCGCACGTGTCACGCGTAGTCGTGCCAACAAACACTTTTGGCGTTGAGGCGGTTGAGGTGTCGAAGCGCTCGGATGATGGTGTGCTCAGACCCCAGTACAAATATCTGGATAATGAAAATAGAATATCCAGCGCGCTTTATTTCACTACAACTTCTACCACGGTAAATAGGGTGTATTTTTTATTATGATTCGGACAAAATAAATTTAAGAAAGGAATTGGTTCATCAAATTGAAAATGGGAAAGCGAAATTTGAGAACCTCTCGCGTGTGTAGTAAACATTTTGAAAGGGACTGCGTGTATCCTGTTGGTTCTGATGTGTTCTGTGAGCGCTCCTTTTTTGATTTCGTAAACCAGAAACGAATATTTCCTCAAAATAACCGGCGGGAAGAAGCGGTGTTTGTCTTCCGGAGTCGTTTCAACTAAATCCCGGGCCGCTGGCCCTAGGGACACCACTGAGAATGAGCAAACTATGTCTCAAAATTTGCTTGGGGCCATATTTTGTCCGGGTTTGCGGTTTGGACCATTTTGACCGGGACCATTTTGTCCGGATCCCGTGCCCGTGAAATGCGAGCTCGTAGCGGGTCCCTGTGTGTTTTTGTCACACCACAAAATACAATTTTTTTTTTTTTTTTTTTTTTTGTGTGTCCGCGATATGCGCGCACAATATCGGCTTTCGAGCGGGTTCCTGTGTGCTCATCCAATACCACCTAGAAGACAAGGCCTGCGCATGACGTTTCGTTAGTATATCCCCGACCCGCCCCAAGCGGCAAACACCCCGAAGCTTGACGAGAGTAGGCAGAGTAGGGGCCGCGTCGCATCTACGTCGCATTCAATTGCGGCCGCAGCTGTGTGCGTGACTGCTGAGCGCGAAGTGATAGCGAGCTTCCAGTGCATTTGCGACGTGCACGCGAACGCTCCCTCGGCCAGGAGCGCGAGCTAGCACGCCCTTCTGGCTTTGAGACGCGCATTTCTAGCGCGCGCGCTCGTTCTGCGGTAGAGCGTTTCGAAGCAACAGCGCCCTCGAAAATGGCGTCCAGTGTCAGCGTCCAGCGTCCAACGAAGGGCTTTTCAGCCCTTCGCGCAGCAGTAAGGCAATTTCACTCATGCATTTGACGCTCCACGTGATCGTATGCTATTTCCAATAGACACTCTTCGTGAGCATCTGTTTCATTATCTGTTACACAAACCACCGAAGCAGGCGATGGAGCAGACGATGTAGCAGACGATGTTGCTCATCCGGGCTAGCTAGGGGACGCTGAGGGGATCTACTAGTGATGACGTTTAGAGGAGGAAACGCGCAGGCCTTGTGTTCTAGGTGGTATTGGCTCATCGCACCGTGAAACGCGAAGCTGCTGCGTCCGCGACCTCCAGTATTATAGTTCCGTGGTGTTTACCGTATTTACTCGCAGAATGAACGCACTTTTTTTCCGAAAAAATCGATGCAAAGTTCGGGGGGGGGGGGGGGGGGGGGGCGTTCATTACGCGAAGTAAAATTTTTGAGTCCGTATTTACTCGCATAATGAACGGCCCTTTAATCCTGAAAAATCGAAGTAACTTCTTATCTCTTTGCGCACGGCGCCCGACCCCGTAACCAAACTAAGCTGTGCAAAAAAAAAAAAAAAAAAAAAACTTTGTTTTTACTTTTAGTTCCTTGGTTTTTTTTTTTGGTTTTTTTTTTTGCCGCCTTTAGCAAGCTGTTTTGTTTGCTTAGGCGTTGCTTAGGCGAGGGCTCTCTGCTTATCTTTCTTATCTCCTTGCGCGCGACGCACGACCCCCCCCCCCCCCCCCGTAACCAAACTGCGCTGTGCAAAAAAGAGCTCCTCTTTTTTTTTTTTTTTGCCGCCTTTCGCAAGCTGTTTTGTTTGCTTAGAAGGCTTCCCTGCTCCTCTTTCTTACTTCCTTGCGCGCGGCGGCGCGCGAACCCAAAGTCCAAACTGCGCTGTGCAAAAAAATAAATAAATAAATAAATAAATAAAAAGCTCCTCTCCATGTTTTTTTTCTTGCTTCCGTTGGATCTTTGCCAATTTTTTTAACGCCTTTTGCAAGGCGTTATGTTCGCCCACGCTGCCCATGGATTCGCGACCTCACTGCACCAGGATAGAAAAGTGCGTTCATCGCGCGCGTGGGGGGAGGGGGTCAAAATTTTGACTTCCGAGTTGGGGGTGCGTTTATCACGCGAGTGAAAAAAAAAAGTCGAAATTTTGAGAGCAGACTTGGGGGGTGCATTCATTACGCGAGTGCATTCATTGTGCGAGTGAATACGGTATTGGTCATTTTAGATAGACTTACTGATTCATTCCCAAAGATTGCCCACCCAACATTTTTCACCACTTGTCTCTTGCAAATGGGTGGGCATTCATGTGAAGTTTTACATAACAATACTTGTTCTAAGAAAATAAGAAAAAAAAAATTATGGGCCTTGGGGGAAACGAGGATATGCCCTCTGCTCAGATTCGGTGTGTAGTCAAAACTCTATAGTCCCAATGACGGCAGCTTGGCATTGACTCAAGACTCGTTGGTGCAGCCAGCTGATGGAGAACCAGATCGAGACGGTGCATGAGGGCGCTTTCGCTGACCTGACGAGCATGGAGAGACTGTGAGTACTCCCCATCACTATCGCTTTCCATCCATTCATCTACTTTCTGCTCGGCGTCAACTATTTGCTGCTACGTTGTCAAGGCTAGCATGGCTTCTGCCATGCTGCAGTGCTGCGAGAGCACGTGCACGGGACTTCCTTTTGCATTCGAATATGCTCGTGCCACACGCTTTGAAGGCGTCGGAGCACTGCGGAAGCTGCACTCTACGTTAGCTTTCACAACGTAGCACAAAATAGTTGACACCGAGTAGTGTATAGCATCGTGCACTGATGCTTGCAGACGTTTCGAGATGGTCGCACCACGGGATTGGTAAAACAATGATGTGGGCTCAACTAATGGCAGTGAGCTGCTAGAGGCAATAACAGCAGCAAATTCTATTTTAACATCGTCGAGAAGGCTATGAAATTAGTATGAAGCCTCAAGTGAGAAGCGAATGTAGCCATGTATTGCTTGTGTTGTTAAATTATCTGTTCTGCCATGTGTCGCTCGTGTTGCTTTGAAGGCTGTAGCGTTCTCGCGGCGGTGCCTCTCGTCCTTTGCAGACGTCTAAACAACAACCGGATACGCAGTTTACCAGGCTCCTTGTTCGCCTCCATGACCAGCCTGCAGCGCCTGTAAGTACACCTTCTCATGTTCAATGTGAAAGCATTAATTGTCTCATGAAGTGAGCTGACGTCATCAGTTTGAAGCGCAAAAACGGCTCCTAGTTCCCGCGATCGCCTTCGGTTCCACTGGCTGGCGCGCGTTGACAGGGCTCCCATTGGCCGCTGCGCCATGGCCTCCGAGATCCCAAAGCGCGCACGCGCTAGTACGCAGCAGATGACAAAAGAAGCGGACGAGCAGACGACAAAGAAAACAGACGAGCAGACGACAAAGGGAGTGGACGAGCGGCTTGCATGCTTCCGAATTTACAACTCATAGGAAATGCTTAGGTGTACCTCAAGTTTTTTTTCTTCTGCACTGACGCCGAAAATGCTCTGAGGGCATGCATGAGAACTCGACACCATCAGTGCAAGTCATCAACTGGTCAAATATTTTTTATTGCGGTGTCGTGATACCTTTTGGGGATTTTAAAGAAGCTACCCGGTTTTTTATATGTGATTTCTGGAATGTCTTGTTAATATGGACCCATCAATATGTCTACCATACTATAGACATCTTTTCAGAGACGAACCGTGTAAATATGTGCATTTTGTCTAATTATTATGAAAAACTCACATTATGGAGGAATTTTGGGGGCAATGGAGGTGTCCATATTAACGAGACATCACTGTATTATGTTAGAATGAGACTATTAAAAGAGAATGCCTGACGACTCATCTCCTGTGCACACAAACTCTTTTAATGGGAATATTTGTAGGCAAATCTTTATCTGGGACCTATTTGAGCAACCCATGGGCCACAGATCACTGAATCTGTTCGTGCTCCTCTTGCTTGCAGTGATTGTCGCCCACGTCTGCACGTCTGTTGGACGGCAAGTGTTCAGTTTAGCTGTGCCTTTTGATGCAGGGACCTCAGCCACAACCGGCTTGCCGTACTGGGACAGTGGATGCTGCACGGTTCACTGCTGCTTAAGAATCTGTAAGTCCAGCACACCCTTCTTAACAGACAGAACATTTCAGGTTGGGCTTGGCACCTTCTTGTACAATCCATTAGTTCAAGAAAATGTTTCTTTTTAGTGTTACATGTTTTGCCATTCAGATTAATGCTCCTGTATGAATGCTGCCATCTCTTTCATATTCCTTCTATGTTGATGGTGTCTAGATCACAGCATCCCCTTGCAACCTTGCCTGTTCTTAGTGCCAGTTGAAGCTGGTTATATATAGGTATAATATACACCTTTTTAATTCAGACGTCATGATACTGTGGTGGCTCTTCCATGAGCACTGTGCGTGCGCATAGGCTTTATTTAAAGCGAATCTGGTTTTTGTGTATGTGCAGTGCCCACACCTAGTTTGGGCAAATGCAGGCTTGTTTGGAAACCGCGCGTTGATGTATAAACTCTATAAGCGAACAGGCATAAGTGGCTTTCTCTGTTGCAAAACCACTTTGCGTGTCTTTTTTACTGTTTGTTGTGGGCTGATCGTTGAATACTGCCGCGCGCGCAGCTGGCCAAGTAGGCAGCGCGCGCGTGGCCTAACGGTTATCGCGCTTGCCTCCCACGCAGAAGGCCAGGGTTCGACTCCTGGCCGCGACTACACATTTTTGTTGACAGTGTAATTTGATGTTCTAGTGAATTCGAGAACCGTCTTGCTGATTCGAGGTTAGAATGTTCTACACACCGAACCTTCTACGCCGAACGATCCAGAAACCCACGAGGGTACATAAGGGATTCGGCAAGGCGAGCAAAGTCAGTTTTTCGCCCCAGCGTTCGACTCTGCTGTTACGCCGACTTCGACGCCCGCGACGCTCTCTTATTATCTTTTGTACCCTTTTATTTTTGGCACAAGTTCGCCACATTCAACGTTTATTTATTCCTGTTTATTTCTTGTTTATTGGTCACCACCCGTGACAATACAACTTTGGAAACAAATAGAACTTTCGAGAAAGGAGCAGTGATTTTTAGGTAACACGTTGGATTTTTCTCATATGGCTGTTTGTTATGCCTTATGAATATCCCATGGACGTTTTAGTTCTGAAAAGTATTTTCACAGCGGTATGAGAGATCCGATAGAACTGCCTAATTTGTCCAATAAACATGACTATAGCCCGTTGCAACTCAAGAATGAAGGGCGAGGGTTAGACGTGCCAGGGAGGAGGAAGCAGACGGAACCCTGGAGAACAGGGGGGAAACCTCCTTCTCTCTTTAGCATTCCGTCTGCTTCCTCCTCTCCGGCCCTTCTTACCCTCGCCCTTCGTTCTTGAGTTGCAACGGACTATAACCAAGTGGTTCATTAAACGTTCAGTTTACTCAGTTATTCGCCGCCTCATCACTTGTCATTTTTGACATTGTATGTACAGTGCTCAACAAACTTTTCATAGAACACATGCTAAATCTACTCTTCGCTTGTTCTATTTTTTTTTTTTCTTTCTATATGTGCGTGCATAGCTGCCGCTAGCCCTAAGCTATTTCTCTTTCTGTCCCACTATGTCCGTAGCATACCTTCAATTCACATAAATATGCGCTGTTCTCTCACATATTATATTTTTTCTGCATTCAATATTGCACAAGTGTTCCGTGTAAGTTTGACGAGCACTCTATATCTTTAACGCCCCAGTAATTATCTTCATTGCTCCAATAGACTAACGCAGTCAACTCAATCATCATCTTTTTTGGTCCAATAGACATCTCTAAAGCAGTGATAGAATTTTATCGTGCCATTTGCTAAATTGTGCCACGAGTGAAGGCCTGCTACATCTACATTTTGCACTAAAATCCATTTTTGCTAAAAATTGCACTGCACATACCTGCGCTGAAATGGGCCTAAACGAAGCAAAAAATACAAATTTTTTAGTTTTGGTCGATTTTAAAGGAGCTGTGCAACAATTTTGGGGCTTTGCTTAAATAATTGTGGAAGTTGATGCCTGACACTTCTGAAGTGAACTACAGAAAACAGATTTTGCCTGGATACCCTAGTTTTTATTTAAAAAATGAAAAAGATCCAGGTTTTTGCCGCCTCTCAACTCGTACATTGTCTCCCGGGTCATGTGCACAGTGACATTGATGGGGTAGGCGCGGGGTTCCGGTAACGTTCTCTTTTTAGAGCCATCAGTGAACAGCGAGAGCTCACCCGCTCGCGATCGCGTGACCACGTGCTGGAGGGCACCGCGCGAACAATATGGTGAAAGGAGGAAAGTCTCATCCGGGTCCGGCCATACCCGTCCGGCCCTGTCCCCCTCCCCCTCCGGTTTCTGGCGGCTGTTCGCTGTAGCAGATAGAGCTGACGGTTTGTGGACCTAGGATAGATGGCGCCACTAAAACTCCGTATAATAAAAGCTTTGAGGTTTTTGACGCATTTATATTTATGTTGGAACGACAAGATTTATAGAAAAGTTACCTTTTATCGAGCAGGTATTTGCGCAACTTGTTATCTTCCTACAAGACCCCCCATTGACGTCATGCCGCGTGTTTCTCATGGCCGCCACTCGCGGCTGCAGGTCGGGGAATATTCTAAGTTTTGCCTCGCTATTACGCGGCGGAATTGCAACATTTCAATGAAAGGAGGTGTGTTTCTGTCATTAGTGACAAGGTGAACAATATCAAAAGCAGAAGATGCCAATTCTTTCAACGTTAAAATCGTTGCACAGCTTCTTTAATATTCAGGCAGGAAAATAGTATAAATATTTATTTCATATTGTCTATGCTCACTGTATAGTTTGTTTCATTTTAGGTCAGAGCACAGTCGAAGACTCAAACACACACAACCGTGAGCACACATACTAATTGTGTAGGTCACGGGGAATTCACTGCGCTTAATTGATTCGGCCAACGAAAGAGCCCTTACAAACAGATTACGAATGCCATGATGACGCGCTTTTGATGCTGTTTGAGTAGTCCCATTGGCTCGTAACGTTGGCTGTCATTTGACTTAAAATGAACTAAAGATATTGCATGCTCATCAAGCGCGCTGGCCGCGTCATCGTCTGAATTTCCAGACAACGTTGGCAATGTTGGGACCTAAAAGTTGTACGAAAAATTTTGCAAAATAGTGGGGTGGTGACTACTGTGATAATGCAGAACCAGGATCTTTAGCTACTTATAAAATCTCCTGATTATTATGTTTGCCACCTACCTCTGTACTGACTGTGGCTACAGTCCCAGTGTACCGTGATGCTTGCGCCGCAGTGCCTTGCAACGTTCACTGCCTCACATCAGCATGCAAATGTCAAGCTTCACTGCTCTGCACTGAAGTGCTAGGAGAGCGCCTGGGTTAGGTTAGTGCAATTGGCTCAGAAATTGTGCTGAGTACTATAAAAAGTAGGCCTTCTTTGGCCTTGGCTGTAGGGTTGACCTCTAATTTTAAAAAGGCCCTGCCGAGAAAGGGAAAAAAAGTGTAGGTCTATTATTTGACTAATAGGATAGTTAATAAGGTAGTTCTCGTGCAGCAGTTAAAGCCAGCAGACTGAGCTCTGATTACAACGCCAGTAACGCATAGTGTCACTTTTAAAGCACAATAGTTAAAGCCAGCCAACTGAGCTCTGATTACAACGCCAGTAACGCATAGCATCACTTTTAAAGTACAATAGTTAGTTAAAGCCAGCCGACTGAGCTCTGATTACAACGCCAGTAACGCATAGTGTCACTTTTAAAGCACAATAGTTAAAGCCAGCCAACTGAGCTTTGATTACAATGCCAGTAACGCATAGCGTCACTTTTAAAGTACAATAGTTAGTTAAAGCCAGCCAACTGAGCTCTGATTACAACGCCAGTAACGCATAGTGTCACTTTTAAAGCACAATAGTTAAAGCCAGCCAACTGAGCTCTGATTACAACGTCAGTAACGCATAGCGTCACTTTTAAAGTACAATAGTTAGTTAAAGCCAGCCGACTGAGCTCTTTACAACGCCAGTAATGCATAGTGTCACTTTTAAAGCACAATAGTTCAAGCCAGCCAACTGATCCCAGTAATGCATAGTGTCACTTTTAAAGCACAATAGTTAAAGCCAGCCAACTGATCAGTTGGCTGGCTTTAACTATTGTGCTTTAAAAGTGACAGTATGCATTACTGGCGTTGTAATCAGAGCTCAGTCGGCTGGCTTTAACTAACTATTGTACTTTAAAAGTGACGCTATGCGTTACTGGCGTTGTAATCAGAGCTCGAGCTCTGATTACAATGCCTGTAACGCATAGCGTCACTTTTAAAGTACAATAGTTAGTTAAAGCCAGCCAACTGAGCTCTGATTACAACGCCAGTAACGCATAGTGTCACTTTTAAAGCACAACAGTTGGTTTTCATAATGTACTGGTGTGTGGTTGTTTTTTAAATTTATGATATTAGAATCTTGAGTTTGATAGGTTCATAAAACTTGGGGGGGACGCATGTTAACTAATGGGCATACCGTAAATTCCCTAGAGATAGCCCACTTAACATCAAGAGAAAATTGGGTGAAAATATAGAGTAGGTTAACCTTCGTTGTACAATCAAGAAAAGTTAAAAAAATTGCTATTTTTAGGTCGTGTCCCTTCTAAGCTTGTTATGGTGACGAGTGCTAACGAAGCAAAGATGACTACTTCCCTGTCAGCAACGCTCGCTTTTTCCAGCCATAGCTAACTAGCAGCATTTACACCGAGGCCATTATCGATCCCAACACTACTATTACTAAGAGTGGGCTAGTTTTCAGTGTTTAACCTGGACCAATTTGGACTAAAAGAGATTTCAGCTTGGCTGATAGAATTTTCTGCCAGTTCAATAGAAATCTTTATAGCACCAATAGCCATTTCTATTGGACCATTAGAAATCTCAATAGAACCAATAGACATTTTTATTGGTCCAATGTATTTTTATTGGTCCAATATATTTTTATTGGTCCAATATATGTTTATTGGTCCATTAGAGTTTCCTATGGGTCCATTAGAAATATCTATCAGTCCAATAGAACTCTGTAATGCTCATATAGAAATCTTTATTAGAATTTTTTCTAGGGATATTTTTTTTGTTTTCCTTTTTTATGCATGTTTATTTGTGGACTTCATTTTCTTGACTAAAAGACTACTTTTCTTTTCAGTCAGTTGGACAACAACGAGATAAGCTGCATTGATGAATCAGTTCTTCGTGGGCTGAAGAACATGGAAATTCTGTAAGTACTCAATTTGGAAAGTGCTTCCTTCTGTAATGTCTTCCATTGCCGTGCCACCATAGCTGATAGATGGCATGCAAACAACAGTTAGCTCAGGAAGCTAAATATAATGCTTGAGGTACATGTACTGGACAGTGTGTTCCAGCGACCTCAAATGCAGAAAAGTACTAGATCAAATCTTCTCACAAGTGGAATGGAAACAAACCATTTTTCAGACAAATGACCTCCAGAGCGCAATGCACATGGGAACCAAGTGTGAAGCTCACCATCGCGTCAAATTTCCCAATAGTGGGCAATCTGAGAGCAGTCCATCGAAACAATTCACAAGAACTCCAGCTTGTCTGCTAGTAAAAAATTTGGTTACCTTCGGGTTTACTTGGCCAGAGAAGTGGCAGTGGCAGTCATGTGATTGCCAGGGACAGAGACATGCTACACGATGCCATAGAAGTCCTCTAGCACCACTTTGGAGATAAGAAGCGATTATAACAAGCATACTTCTCAAGACTTCTAATAATAGTTTGGGGTCTGCGATGAATTTTCAGTCTTCTCCAAGGCACTGTACGAGGTCTCTATGCATGAGGCATAACCAAGTCCAGTTGTACCCCAGAGACTCTGCAATAGTATTCTGATGCAAGCTTTTCCACACGCCATCATTCTGAACTGAAACATTGTCTACTCGCTATACAGGAGCAATTTTGTAAAATTGGATGTGCTATGAACATATTTAGAACTGTATCTGGTTATGACTGCTCCTATATTTTTTCCGCCAAGACGCGTCTATGAATGAATACTACTATGAATACTAGCTTGTTCTTATATATATTTGCGTTGGGTATGGGCCTGTAGAACTTTGGTTGAAAACACTCCACCTTTGTTCAGAAATGGCAACGAATGCAGTTTAGAGAAGTTTTGTAATGCCTTTTAACACTGCAAGCCATGCTACTTGCGTCACATTTCACAGCTTCTTACAGAACCGAGTCATGCTTAGAAAACCAGTCTTCAACAAAGTATGTCTACACATGGTAACCCTCGTTATAACGAAATTGCTTTTTCTGAATTATCGCTTTTACTGAAGTTCAACGTGGTCCCGACCGAAATGCACGCATTTTGAACCGGATTATTCGAAGTATATTGGCGGTCGACCACGCTTATTACGAAGGCCGTGGTGCTGAAAGCATGCAAGCCTACATGGAGGCGCATAGAGACCCTTGTGTTCCCTCCCCCTTCTCCACTGTAACAAACAGCTGTCTGGGAAAATGGCAAACAGGAATACGAAGCAAACGGGTGACTGAGGGCAGAGTGATCGGAGCACCACCTCCGATGCAGATGTGCCCGACACGGGTAGGGAGCAGCGTCCACGTTTCGACGCTACTCATGGCGCCTGCGGCCGACGCCAGCCAACACTTTCCGGCTTCCCGCTCTCCCGCCCCTTGCTTCCACCTGACTCCTGTCAGAACCGGGTCAAGGGAGCGATGGAGCCCAGAGGAGTCCGGAGGAAATGATCCCTTCGGGAGGCTCCGTGAGCCTGCGGCATAAAGCAGCTTCGTTCTATTTACCGGCACCTCCTCGACCTTCTGCGTTGGTGCAGAAAAGCATAGGGTGGTGTACCTCAGGTCGTATCTCAATACACATACCGGAGGTAGACTGCCCTACACTTTTCTGCACCGGTGCAGGAGGTGCAGGGAAATCGAGCGAAGCTAGTGTACAAATCACGCACACGTGCATCGTATGGGAGAGTGGGAGTGCTTACCAAAAGTCGCTTAGCACATCTTCGAGGTTGAGAAAAGTGGCCGGTCCACATCCGAAATTGCCAAAAAATTTACATTCCGGCATCAGCTGTTCGACACTGTCCACCATTTTGCAAAACAAGCAAGGCAGGCTTTGTCCCAATCACGATATCTCTACTCGTCGTCGAAAACGCACTGCTCGCTTTTTCCCGGGCACAATTGAGCACAAGTAGCCCAATCATTCGCACCCTCCTTCAATTACGTCCGACAACCGTAGCATAGTTTCGCTTGGGCCAGCTCGAACACTCATGGAAACGCTACGCAGTTGACGAAGCGATGCTGTTCTCCCACACGCTCTCCCATGCACGAAAAACACGAAACAATTACATGCCTTGGTTGATTCGTTGCCATGTTCGTGGGCGTCTAACTTCGGTAAATGTCTCGTGTACACTACCGCGTGGGCCAGATGGATTGATGCTGATGGTTTGAAGAGACCGCATAAATTGGTTTCTTAACTTATCGCGCTGGGACTTACTACAGAAGTGCTCGTAGCTGGTGCATTCATTAATTGAGAGTATGAATACATGAAACCTTTGGAGTCAAAAAAGAAATAAAATAAAAACTGGTTGTGTCTATGGAAAAACTATCGCTAAGCCTTTTATCTCAAAATCATCAGAAAATTGTTGTGGGCTATTTTGGCATTTACTATGATTGAAAAATTTGTGAAATGGAAATAAAATAGAATTGGCTTACCTATTCTTCACTTCATTTGGCCCAAATGAGCGCCACAGTAACACAATATTTTTTTAGTGTACATATATGCAAATTTATTGTACAGGGAAAACAGTTTTTTATATTTTTTTTTTATTCACTTAGGTGAGTCAATTTTTCCACAATTTTAGCAAAAGCTTGTACCATTTTCAGGCCCCTCTGTAGTAAATCCTAGCACGATACATTAAGAACCCGACTTATGCCGTTCCTTCAAACAGCCATCGATCTCTTTGACCCACGTAACTTTCGCCACGGAGGCCAAATAAAACAAGATGCGATGCTTTTTCTTGGGGCCGTATGGTCCAGAAACACACACTGATCTCTCTTACGTTCGGTTTTCAATATACCTCTTTCGATTTTCCGCCGAGAAAAACTTAAAAGACGCGCTGCTCATTCTTGCTCATGGAAGCATACATAAGAAGCTGGTCAACCGGACGATATCTCGGCCACAGGAAGTTTCGCCATTACTTGTTTATGTTTACCTTGGAATACCATGGATACAGTCAGAGTGTTCTTCAGTGTCCCCGTCCGCCTTCAAGGCTGCTGGCGCTGTTTTTTTTTGGCTCTATCGCATTCATAAAACTACCGCTTATATGGAATCTTTTGCTGTCTCGTTGACTTCGTTATAACGAGGGATTACTATCAGCAGCAGGACACTTCATGTTGTTCTGAAACTTAACTCAATCTGCATCTGTTTGTGCCCTAATGCTGATTTTACTGTGGTATCTGTTTAAAATAAAAACAAATTTATTTTTTAAAAATCCCCCACCACCACGGGATCCATTTTCAACCTTCAGGATTGTGGTCACCCTATTCAGTAGTCACTTTTACCAATAGGCTTCTACGCTAGTAGTCATACAATTCACAATGAAATTTACTTTAACCAAATGAAACCGTCAACCATAAATGCACCATTTTCAGAAATCACCAGTTTTGGATTTCTTGCGAGGAACATTCTTGTGGGCATGGCACAAGCAAGCACAACCATTCCCTTAGTCAACTGAACTCTGCTGAGGTGCAGTGACCTAGATTGAGCTCCTGAAACGTCACGTTTGTGCCCATTGTAGCTAATCTTTTGTCTTCAAGTTCATACAAAGGTTCTTCCCTCTCCTTTCTAATGGCACCCTTTGTCTCCTATAAGGACTCCCCGAACCAAGTCTCCGACAGGTGGCACCATTTCTTTCGAAAATGGTGGATTGAGTTTGAAGAAACAAAGGCCGCTTGCAAAGGTAAACTTATCAAGCGTTCGGACAAGAGTGATAGTCACGACGGATACGCACTCAAACTTTGATTAAGTCTTTATATTGCACACAGTCTACTTACATTTGTTATATTCAAACTAAAGCAACATTTAACCCGCCTTTGTTGTCAGAACTAATCTTGACAATCTATATGGGACCACTTGTTGATCATCCGTCACCCGTCGCTGCTTTTCTTGCATTTGCTTGAGGCTAATCCTATGATCGCTAAGTATCGGACGAGTACTGCCGATCATGTAGATTTTTTTTGTATGCTAAGTGTTTAGCTTCACCGATCCTGCATTAGCTATATACACCCAGTGCACACCACCATATTCAGTTTACGAGTGCAGCCCATGTTAAAACCATACTAGAAGTACACTGCCCTGCTCTTTTCTACAGCACCCTACACTTTTTTGTACCATTGTAGTCTGGTGCAGGTAAATCAAACAATCCCAGTGCTGAAAGCCTTCACGCCCTCTTTTGACCTTTTTCGTATCACTCTCGATGGTACAAATTTTCAGCCATCGACAACAGTTTGATGTGGCAAGAGTTGCGTCAGTCATGGGTTTTTTTCTCGCTCATTTTCACCGGCACATTTCCATTTTCCTGGCAAACACTTATTGTGCCAAGAAATCAATGCAAGTACAGTCGCGATATGAGCTGGCCCAGTTTAGTGCTAATGTTGCAAAGAAAAGGGATAAAATTCCGCATGGGGTGCCTCTGTCTTGCTATGCAATGAAAGTGACTACCACCTAGTGACGATAGGAAATGTGATAGTCCACCTTTTTTTTCGACAGCCGGGCTCCCTGTACGACTTTTGTGCCGCCTCTGCCCGAACACCGCTGGTCCAGCTCATATTGCCACACCCTGTACTTGGGCTTGAAGGAAACCGTCCCTAGACGGGCTTCCCGACGTCCATTTTGCTTTTCAGGACGCTGAACCGCAACAACCTGACCACCCTGGGGAAGCAGCTCTTCGAAGGCATGCCAAAGCTGCGCGTGGTGTAAGTGGTGGCGACGGGGTTCATCGGGAGATTGCAATGGCAGGGCGTGCTGCGTGCGCCGCAGGCGGCTCTCGGAGAACCCCCTGGTGTGTGACTGCCGCCTGGCCTGGCTGGCACTCTGGCTGCAGCGCCACCCCCGACTGGGGCTGCTCACGCGCTGCAGCCGCCCGCTGCCGCTCCGGGGAAAGCTGCTGGCCGAGTTGCACGAGACGGACCTGCGTTGCGAGCCGGGTGAGCCCTCCAGCTGGGCCCTGCTGGCGTGCCCAGGTTTGAGGCGGGTTCCGGCTCCTCTATGGATGCTTTTCACGTTTGCAAATGCAAACCTTGCCTCCCGAGGGACTTCCAGTTGCTCCGTTTCGGCAGGCCTTCCGAGACTGTGATGTCACAATTCCTAGGACGATGAAGTTCTACGGGAATCATGAAGTTGGTGATTTAGCAAGGTCCTTATAGTGCACTGTCTAACGTATAAGAAAGGATCAGTCATCTTGCGGGAGTATGAAAAAATCTCCAGCAACTCTCTCTCTAACCGGTCCTTTAGCTAACCACCTGGAGAACTGGTCGTACAATATTTCATGAACATGCAACCAGCTGTGCTATGGCGGGGATTGTTTGTCCTTTAATTTGACTGGAAGTTTGCAGGGATGTAAAATGCAACAGTGCCTCCTTTTGGCGTTTTATAAAAAGGGCCTCCATATGCCCCGATACTTCTCTCCATGGGGTAGAGACCCTTCTCTCCCTCTTTCTCTGCTTGACAGCCGACGGCAATTTTTAGTGCGGCCTACACCTAGATAAGAAGGCCGGAGGGCTGAATCATCGCCTAAGAAGGCAAACGCTATACTTCGTTCTCTTCTAAGCTGAGACTGCAGTGGAAGCTACGTCCTCGTTCGACCAGTCATACGCCTCTTTTTCGCCACGTCATCACGCTCCCGGACATACCCATGCGCGGAGAGCCAGATCAGTTGATAAGATGGAGGCGGCTAATTGTTCCAGCGGGCACGTAGCTCTCACCGTAGTCTGAGCTTAAGGGTGAACGGAGTATAGGCACGGATTGGACTCGAGTGCTTCATTAGTGTTGGGCGAAGACTATCAGTGATGACATGAGTCTGAGGCAAATGATGACGCAGCAGTCGTCTCTTTGGCCTGCTCAAAAATGGTGTCGTCTGCCGGGAGGGGAAAGATGAATATTTGCCATGATCCATTAGTGTCTGTGGTCAAAGCAATTGAAGTCTGTGGTCAAAGCAATTGAAGAGACACCTGTTTGGAGAGACAACCGTCTTCAACTGTTTTATGTTTCTCTTTTCTTACCACAGTCTCAGGTATAATTTATCATGGTGCTGCTCGCCTCCACGCTTACTATTTTATTGATAAATATTTGAGGGTGAGGGTGTTGGCAAAGAGGAAAGCTGAGTATAATAGTTTGCATTACTTTCGGTATGTTTATGTTTTATGGTTATTTATTGATGCCTACCAATAGCAACATGCCTTCCCGATGGTGAATCACAACACAGACGAAAAAAGAAACATACCGGTGTACACACACATCAAACACACAATATGCACACAAAAATGACAAATTAAAAAAAAGAACATATCTTAGTATAGCTCTGACATTACTAAGTTTTTAAAATTGCCTAGAGGCATGAACTTGTCAATCGAAGGTGACAAAATTTCATTAGAGCAAGCTTCTGTTTGGGTGGCAGGTGAAAGCTGGGTGCAACCACTAACATGAAACATTTCCATTGACCTCAAAGAGCAAAGAAACAAACAAAAGCTTATGGTGGATAATAAACACTTTGGTGTTTAAAAGTTTGCTGCATGACACTTTGCTATTTAAAAGTGTGTGTAAAAATAATAAATCATGAAGGTCTCTTCTTTCGAAAAGTGTGTCCATACCCATGTTGCTCAGCAGCCAGTTATAGTCATAATAATATTTCTTTTCGAGGAATCGGTCATAAATTATATGCATAGTAAGGCGTCCCTGGACGCTTTCAATACACTTAGAGTTTGAAAAATTCCAGGCACTAGAAGCAAATTTCAATTTTGAGCGAACAAATCAATTATACAGCTCGAGTGCATATGACAGTATTTTAAACGCGGACAATTCTTGACATCATGCCGAGCATCCTCAATGAAGCCACCACAGCACTAATGTGTGAGTCCATCCGAAGCACGGAGTCCCATAACACTCCAGGTCATGTATGAAAGTTGTTCTTTCTATTTCGGGACATGTTGAGCGTGTAAGGGTATGTATTTACTATATGTTTTCCACTAAATGTAATAATATTAGTTTTTTTGTTGTTTTTTTTCGGATTTAGCTTAAGACCATTATTTGAGCACCAGATATTGCCTGCATCGATACCATTAAATTCTTCATTTCCATGCAGTCACAGTGGGCTTCAGTCTTGTGAAATATTTTTTACATAATCAGCATACTGCAACAATTGTGAAAACTGAACACACTCAAAGAGATTGTTAGCAAATATGGTGTACAAAAGGGGACCAAGATTAGACCCCGGGACTCCAGAAGTTGAAGTGTACGAGGCTAACGAGACACATGCGGACAAAGTTAGAACGCCCGACAAAATATTCGGAACCATTTTATGTATTCATTAGTTACACTTATATTCAGACATCTTAATTAGAAGCAATTCATGGTTGACCTTATCGAATGCTTTTGTCATGTCTGAATACACCACATCAACCTGCCCTCAGTTTTCAATGATTGGACCACAGAACTGCATAAGCTGACAATGATTAGGCTCTCTACCAAGCGACCCTTCATAAAGCCACATTTTGGGAAATTAATTTTGTACACAAAGAAGCGATACAAGTGCATGAAAAGTATCACTGAAAAAAAAATCTTGTATATATTTGATAATAATGAAACCATTCTACAATTGTTTTTATTTTTCTCTGTTTGGATCCCCTGGGAGGGGTCCAAGCAGGGTGGGATAAAAAGAAGTGTTGTTTATAAAATAAACAACATTTTTTATACACCTGTATAGAAAAAACAAAAATAAACATAGTAGATTATGCAGCACAGCCAACAGAAAGCAACATGCAAAACACCAAAGTGGAAAAAACCCACCACTAGATGCAGAAGCGTAGAAATGGTAGTGGCATCTAAAAAGAAATCGTCATTGGAATAAGTCAGAAATAAATAAATTGACTCGAGCATCGTCATCACGTGTGCACACAAAATCACAGAAAGAAATTTTAGAAACATAACACACTTCAAAAACACAGAGATGACAAGTCCCAAAGACACTTTATGATGTGGAAATACACTGCAGAAAGGCGTTATCGTTTTGAAAAGCTGTGGATGTTATCCATTCCAATCATTAATTGTGAAAGAAAGAATACTTATATGTGTCAGTTCTTGCAAAAAGAGGCTCGACAGATTGTGAGTGTTTGTGTCGTGATTGGCGTGTTTGAGCGTTTTCGATACAGAAAGTTTCAAGGCTAATTTATGAAAATAAAGTGATTGGAAAACTTCAATCTGGTCATTTTTCTGCATATGCAGAGAGGCTGAAGGTTTGCTGGATTCAGCATATTAGACATAAAGTCTACTCTACAGTATCTTCTGTAAATAAATCTAAGTGTTAGTGACTGTATTTTTTTCTAATTCGCTACGTCACCTTTCTGATGAGGGTCTCATACAGTACAGCCACACTTGAGGGCGGACAAGATGCAACAGAATGTTAAGTTGGGCTAGTTGGTTGTTCATGACTGGAAGGAAGCGCTGAAAGACGGCAACAAAAAAAGTAGGTAACGACGACACGTGGCGCCACGTGTCGTCGTTACCCACTTCTTTTGTTCTGTCTTTCAGCGCTTCCTTCCAGTCACGAACAAGATGACGGTTTTATAGGCCAGGAGTTTAACATTGCTCGGGATGTTGCTGAGCCGTCGCCTAAGTAAGCCCAGTTTTTTACGGGCCTGTGAACATATAATATCTATATGTCTTGATCACATCAGATTACCTCTAAGAGTTAACCCTAAATATTTGAACTCTGAAACGTCATTAATTAGGTTATGACCTATGTTACACGTCAATAACAGATGGGATTTTTTATTTATTATTTTAAGATAAACAGTCTTATAGTAATAGTTAATCATCATGTCCCATTCAGTTACTGAATTTAGTCTGCGGTTAAGAGTTTTCTGGTCTTTGATATTTGAAACCTCAGCAAAAATACCAGTCATCTGCGAACAATTGCAGTGAAACACTTGGGCCAACGAATTCAGTTAGATCATTAATATGAATAATAAAGAGTAGCGGCTCAAAGACGGATGCTTGGGATACACCGGATTTAACATGTAGAAAATAAGAGTAACTTGTTTACATCAACAAATTGCCTCGGCTTTCCAGGTAGGCCTGAACCCACCTGATTATCTTGGGGGGAATTCTAACTTTTCTGACTTCTTTTTTTCAAAACACAGAGTTATGCTCATCTTCATCTTTGGATCTTGAGCTTGGATTGTTATGATGTTTTTATAGATTTGATACTTCATAAATTGGGAGTGCAATAAGACTAGGACTTCCAAAGAATTTTTACTGTAAGATTGTGACTCATTTCTAAATATAACTAAAAAGATTTCAGTGTGTGATGACCATTTTTTAAGATGATTCCAACACTATAAATATCTTTTTTGTGCTCTTTTTTTTTATTTTAAGAAGATATAGACATACTTTTCCGTAGTTTTTGAGGTAAGTATTGTAAAAAAAGGTGGGCAAAAACATGTGCCACAAAGTCGCAATTTTCTCGAGAGCTAGAATAGATCAGGAAAAAATAGGGTCATATCGCCGCACAGAAAATAAAAGTAAATGTAACCCTTTAATCCAAATCGGGCGAGAAAAAAAAAAAAAAATTTGCCATTGGGATTTCTTGGGTGTGTTCCAGAGAATTTTTTTAGCTACCCCAACCATAGTTGATGAGAGGCTAAGAATTCAGGGTGAGTGAAAAGAAGGCTGGGAGATGAGGAAGCAGATGAAATGATGAAGAGGAAAGGAGAAAACATCCGCCTCGCTCCAGCATTCCACCTGCTTCCTCCTGCAGCCTTCTTTTCTCTCGCCCTGAACTTGTAACCTATCAACAACTATATTTTCTAAATCTCCCGGCTTTTACCTTTTCTGGTAGGCTATTGAGTATCTGAATTGAGAATAATTATTATGAAATCGGCAAATGAAGGTGATGCCCAAACCGACATTCAAATATACCCACACTTTTCGGTGCTGTGATATCACTAGCAGACAGGCTTGCAGGTCGAGTGGGCAGTTTAAAAAACAGAGTATGCCGAACATTTGTTTCGTGCTGTTGTGCAGGTGCTGCAGTGAGCTTCCATAGCATTCATTTGACACAATGAAGCCACGGGGACTGGAGTGCGTCTCCGACTGATGTGTCTAGCGTCGTATTCTGCCCATACGTCCAAAGTGATCCCCAAAGTGGCAACAAATGATGTCACAGAAGCTGGAGTGTCATGCTGTCGGATGTCACCATCCTGGTGGTTAGTCGTAGAAGTGATGGCGAAAAGCACGAGCGAATGTGAGTGTCACTGTCGTCGCGGCGTCCCAACTTCTGGCTGCCTGACCTTCCGTGGACTGTTACACTGGAGGGCGACCTGCAGCAGAACAGGTATCTGCCACACGCTGCGGCTGCTGGGATGCCGCCAGGATCGCGACCGGCGACAGCATGACACTTCTACGAAGTCACCAGGCGGAAATCGAGAAACCACTTCTTTGGACGCGGTAACCTCACCAGTCGGGGGCGCCTTCTAGGCATATCATAACGAAGCGGCTTGTAATCACTTGGGAACAAATTCTACGGTCCAGAGAGTGAACCACTGCCTGCCGCTGGAGTCACTTTTTCGTCGTTGCCAGTAGAAATTTTTAGTTTGAAAAACACTTGACGACCGAAATTGTAAATTCAATATCTTCGCAGAAAAAAAACTTTTTTGGCTTAATATTTGGGTTACTAATTGGCTGTGTTTGTTAGCCCGTTTGGTCAATTCTAAGGCAAGTCGGGGATCACAGAGAAAACGCCGGAGTGCTTCTTTAACGCGGACTCCTCGTCCAGGGAGTGTGCTGCCGCCCTCTGTGGCTTGCGTCACTGAGGCTTCCTGCCCTTTTCCGTGCACCTGCGAGGAGGGTGTGGTCGACTGCCGACTCCGGGGTCTCACTGCGCTGCCACGGCGGTTGCCACCTGGTACTACTGAACTGTGAGTGCATCCTTTTGACCCTCCCCTCGAGCGCCCTTGGCGTGCCCTTTGGACTCTTCAGTCTTTGGGGGTAAACCAAGTAGGGCGGAGAGAGACAATACCGATTTTTAAGCCTCTTGTGACGGCAGAGGACCTGCTCTGCAGCAGCGCATCCTGTCCTCCGCAGTCGCAAGAGGCTTAAAAACCGGTCTTGTCTCTCTCGGTCTTACTCAGTTGCAAGTGTGTGAACGGCACTTAGGGGTAGCGTGGCTGAAAGCTGGTTTACACACCTTGCGTCTGCTTACAACCGAACACCTTGAAACCTCTAAGTTGTGACAACCCACTGGTACCATCTGTCGGATAGCTGTGGAAGCGATTCTCGTATGTGTACTTTCATTTTTTTCGCGCATCATTCTTTTTTTTTTAGCTCGAAAAACTTTTGACAGTGTTATAAATGGCGCATAGCATCACTAGCTTAGATGGTACTGTCGTGTGGGTAAAAGAACCCTCGTTTTATTCCGCTCGCTTGTTTTATTGCCAGCATCGTACACACATCACATGCCCTATCTGCCGCGTGGAGCTTTGTCATGGTGTTGGCAGATCACCCTTACCACGCTGATACCACATCTCTCCTTCTAGGAGAGACAAGAAAAGCACACTAAACAAAAGCATGTAAATGTAACTCGTCAACACTAACAACTACTTGACTAACAGTTATTCGTCAAACCCATATCTGATTGGTTTCTTGACGACCCTTCTCGACTAGTGGTGACCACAGCCGTAGGCACTCTCGTGTCCAAAGGAGAGATCTGAGGCCCTTCATTGTTTGTAACGTTCGAATTTGTGTCCCTTACGTCGCTCTCACTGCTCGGGATAGAAAAAAAAGTTGGGGCTCCAATTTACTCTGTGAAGGTGGTTGGCCAGCGAAGCTGTGGTATCACCTGCTATGATTGCCCACTGCACTATACCAAATGCCGCCGCTGGTCGTATTGCCATTTCTTTTCCCTTTGCTGCTCTTCGTATTCGCGCTGCTCCTCGTTTAGTCCTAACTATGCGTGGCCTACCCATAGCAGTGCTGCAACAACAATGAAATCAATTGCTGTACTCCATTTCACCTTACGTCCAAGCGCAGCAGATGTTACGAGCCATCGGAGCCAATTCAAGGCCGTGTGAGTTTCACGTGACCTTAGAGAGGGGACACAGTGACGTGCGGAAAGCGAATCACAGGCTACGTCCACGAAACAAGATTAGCTAGGATAGCTCGTAGCATCCGCTGCGTCGAGACGTAAGGTGAAGCGGAGTGTAGGCGGGTTCTTCTTTTATATATAAAAGGCTATAGTCCGTCGCAACTCAAGAAGGTAGGGTGAGGGAAAGGAGGGCCGGGGAGGAGGAAGCAGACGGAACGCTGGAGAAGAGAAGGGAAAACCTCCTTCTCTCTTTAGCGTTCCGTCGGCTTCCTCCTCCCCGGCCTTCCTTTCTCTCGTCCTACCTTCTTGAGTTGCAACAGATTATAGTGATGTCACTCCCCACGTCGCAAGCTGCCATCGCCGTGGCAGCTTGTGCAACAGTAATCTTTACCAGGAAACATATGTGGTGAGCGCTATGTGCTTTGAATTGTTATCAGGAGTGCCTTATCATCAATTATCTGGTTCAGATGCTTGTTTTGTGCTTGTTCTTTATTGAAACAAATGCAGGGGCCATTAACTCGTCAAACATAAATTTGGAGCCGAAAGTTCGCGAAGCGCGCCAGTTGGACGCCAGCGACAAAAGCGCAAAGTCATCGTCGTGATAGTCTAATCGGTACGCTCTGTGAACTTTGGCCCCAACTGTGTGTTTGATGAGTTTAGAGTCCCTGTGTTGTATGCATGATGTCTGCACTTTTCGCTTCAATCGCTGATGGGTTTTTTTTCCGTGAGGACGCCGACAAGAAAAAGTCCGACCAACAAGTCATATACCGCTCCGCTGTAACATATTTCCCTCGGAACTTATTTGGAAATGAGAGGTGTAGTAGCCTCACAGACTTGCCCCCCAACACAGTAATTACATTCTGGTATGAAGTGTGATAATTATTTTTTTATTTGGTAATGAAAAGAATTAGGCAGATGCACTTGGGCACACTGGTGTGAAACGTGAAATGCAAGGTTTGGAAGCATTGTCGGTCACAGCCATGAGCCATCCAATGGTGTGAAAGGCCATCGACGCAGTACGCTCGAAGGAATCGTCCGTAATCATAAAGATGGCCAAGGACCCGGTCGGCAATCCTCCCAATAAGAGGCACAAGTCAGTGCTTGTCAAAAAGCAACGCCGCGTCAAGGACCTCTGTGAGGAGTATCATGCGGCACTGAAATGTAACGTTTCTGCGTGGTACTCAAAATGTTCACGTCAGTGTGTTGAAGTGCATCTCCTAGTTTATAATTTTATTTCAAATTAAAAAAAGGACAGAACTTCAAACTATAATGTGATAACAGTTAGGTGAGAACTTGGCAAGGTTATTATTTCCCATTTCAAAATGGTTTCTGTGGGAAATATTTTTTTTTTACCCACTCGGGGCCATTTTTTCCTACTTTCCATTTGGGGCCATTTCTTCCAGGGTCCTATTTTCCGGGGCCTTTTTTTCCGGGGACATTTATTCTGGGGACATCTTTTTCCTACACCCGGTGTCAAATGTAGCCAGTACCACTGCTAGCCTGGGCTCTTTAACCTGCATCGTGCAGCAGTGATACACGACCGCATGCCGGTAGGATGCTCATCCAGATCGAAATGGGCAGGGGTGGGGAATGAACCCCGGATACCTGGGTTCTGCAGCGTGAGCTTTTGCTTCACGTTCTCCGATCTGCTGTGCACTAACACACTCGACCACTGATCTCCCTGATTGAACACCCGCAGTCATTATTTTTTCGACCTCGTGGAGTCTGTGTGCTGATCGGGGTGGGGTTGTAGTTGACTATTTGAGCTCCTTGTACAGGTCACACTATGTGCATAACCTTTCTCAGCCTTTCTCTGGAGTAATCAGACTCGTTGTGAGATCTGTTGGCCATGCTATTGCCTCATGCAGCAAAGCTTGAAGCTTTGTTTCATAGCAGGCCTTCAGGCATACTCTGCTCTCATCAGCAATGACATTGTGTTTGTCTCCTTTCAGGAGACTGGAACAGAATCGTATCACTGAAATTCCATCGCACGCCTTCGCCCAGCTCAAGTGGATACGACGAATGTGAGTCCTTTGTTGTTGTTTTTTTCGCTGTGTTTGACACAACTTCACACTGTGTGTAAGACCACTACTTATTATTTTCCTGGGAGCCGAGCGTAGTGGGGCTCTCTGGTGGCACAGACGAGGATCGAGTCTACAGGCCAGGTTGCCTGTGCATTAATCACCCATTGGCTAGCAATTCCTTCATGAGTGCAATTGGAAGCACTAGAAGGGCTCCCCCACACATAGAATGCCTGTGCAAGGAATGTGCCAACAATCATTTGGACACACATCCCTTTTCTAGATTATGCCACTACACTAGGCTATTAACATGGTGCAAGTTTGCAAGCAAAAAGGTGATCATGACATACTATAATATTCTAAGGCAAACCCAGTTAACTAAGTAATAGGTGAAAAACTGTAGTTGTTTGTGTGCCACCTCATGCTTTTTTTTCTTCAATCCTGCATAGATTAAAAGTTGCAATTCAAATTTTGGTTAGTCTTTGTCACTTTCATATTCAAAGCTAAGGTAACATATGATACAAAAATATCAACAAAAAAATGCTGAATTGATGTTTAAAACAGTATTTGAGTCAATAGCTAAAAATAATACAGCTTCAGAATTTTTTTCTTTTTTTTTCATTTGGTTCTTGTTTTAAAGTTAAGGTCAATAACACTAAAGAACTATTTCTGGCTTTTTCAGATCTGAACAAGTTCCGGTTCAAATCTGGTCAAGCCAGAAATATAGTAATTGGGCTCTGTTCTAGATCCTGTAGCTATTGGGTTCTGCTCTGTGGGGAGAAGGCCAGCAGAAGTTAATAAAAAACGAAAATACAAAAATTGATGTATAGTTGGCTCGCTAAGAACAGACTGCAAAGCACACTTAAATTTTGCGTTATTCCACGGATGACACGTGGCAAGATAGCCAATTGAGTCTTTTATCGTACGCTAGTTGATGCTTTTTTTTTTTCCCTCTCCTAGTTCATTGTGCTTCCCTGTTTTCTGAGTATTTCGTGAAGTTTTTTATAGTCTTTTTGTGTAGCTTTTGTAACGCAGGGCATGGTGAGCCTCGTGCATCTAATTATTATTGCTGTGCAGCCAGTGAGATTGTGGCCTTAGTCGATAAGAATGAATGCCGAAGCAATGAATGTGAACATAAGAAGGCTGTCAGTGGCTTTCGCATTTCTGGGGGGGCGTCCTTATGGTGCTTCTTCTTCCGCAGAGACTTGAGTGGCAACCTGATCTCCAAGGTGGCGCCGGACGCCTTTAGCGGCCTCACATCACTCACCTCTCTGTAAGCAGTGCCCAGCCTGCAGCCAGGGGCCTTTTCTCAATTGCTTGCTCAACAGGGTCCTGTATGGGAACAACATTTCGGATTTGCCTCCGGGCCTGTTTCACGGATTGACGTCGTTGCAGCTGCTGTGAGTACACTTTTCACTCGGCCCCACGGCTTCTCAGGCTCCAGGTACCAAATGGATGTCTCGGAGCTCCCGCGTACGGTGGGCAGCTAGTGTAGCACAAAGCGGACGCGAGCGTTTGGACAGCGGAAGGTCGGTTGCCTTCGTTATATGGTGGCACTGGTTCGCAAATGCGAAATTTAGCCAGTGCAGTATGACATGCTATAGTTTGTTTCATCGTAAGTCGGACTGTAATCGAAGGCAGGAACACGTACAACCACTAACATGCATAGTAGTAGAAGTGCAAGTCACTGCACCGTCCCTGTACATGATTAGATATGATAAAACAGGTATAAAAACATGACGAACATCATGACTCCGCTTTTGGTGCTGTTTGAGTGGTCCCATTGGCTCGTAGCATGGGCTGCGTTCGAGGAGAAACCAAGTATAGCCTGGGGCCTTTGGCACAGATGACTCAGTAGTGATACACGACCGCACGCCGGTACGACACTTGTCCAGATCGAAACGGGCAGGTGCGGGGATTGAGCCCTGGATCCCTGGCTCTTGGAGCCCGCGCTTTCATTTCATATGGTCCGAGCTGCTGTGCGCTGACGCACTCAGCCACCGGTTCCTCCTATACACTGCCGTAATATCCGGAGAGATAGCCCCACTCCCGAAAGATAATCCGCCCCGTATTTTGGCACGACTTGCTATTTTTCTATAAAACGCCAAAAGATAGCCCACTGCTAATAATTGCAGGGCTCTGGCCAATGGTGACCTCAGCAGGAATGGTGCTACTTAGCCAAGACGGGAGATAAGCGAACATTGCTGACTGGGAAGGACAGTCGTCTTTGGTTCATCGTTGGCCTCCCTGCAATCATTCGCAGGTCACAGAATCTAAGACTAGCATTTCTTCAACTTTTTTTTTGACCAAGCACCGAAAGTTAGCCCACTCCTTATTTCCACTCTATGTGCTTTCGACTTTGAGGGGGCTATCTCTAGGGATATTACGGTAGCGCATTTCAGCCTATTAGGCGGCGTCTTAGCCTTAACAGTTTAGGAAAAGTAAAAAAAAAATAAGGATGCACAAAGAAGCGTGTAAAATTTTGTTCGAGAAAACTGACCGCTTACAATTTTGTCTCGAAAGAGTGTGAGCTTCCATGCCAGTAGGTATATTTTGAGCATTTGTAAAATGAGCGTTGAAGTCGGATAGTTGCACTATTTGAATAATTGTGCACAGAGTGTCCTCCCAAAAAATTTACAAGGTTTTTTTCACTGCAAACATAAACTAGGCATCGCCGAACGCTCATTCTCGGCCCAAAGGTAGCGCTAGAGGTTTGAACAGGATGCCAAAGTTTCAGCACGAACCAATATTTTATCTAAAAGCTATAAGTGATTTTCTGAAAATTTCAGTGGGAAAATAGAGCCCATTTCCGCCCGTTTTCGGTTTCTGGCGCCTTACAGCTCCATGTATTGTGGAGCTCCATTGGCCACCATTTTCCCATTTTAATTTGCAGAGAATCACTTATAACTTTTGAATAAGATATCGGTTCATGCGGAAACTTTGGCATCTGGTTCGGACCTCGAGCGCTACCTTTGGCCGCAGAATGAGGGTTCGGCGATGCCTAGTTTATTTTTGCGGTGAAAACAAAACCTGTAAATTTTTTTTTGGGACACCCTGTAACTCAAATCTTTTTTATGAACTTTTGTAGTCTTACACCGAAACATTCCATCTCTTATCTAAACAAGTGCTCTTTGCTTTAATATCAAAGTCTATTTTTCGCATAAACAATATTGCGATGCAAAAGTAGCAATTCGGTTTTGTCTTCCAAATGGAAGGTATGTGCAAAATTGTGAATAATCCTAAATAAAACATTTTTATTTAATAAGACCTGTTGCACATAAAGCATCTCTTCCAAAAGCCTATTGAAATTTTATGATTCTTCACTGTTCACATTGTGAATCCTAAGAGCACTGATCTCGCTGTGGTAGGAAAGGCATATCAGCCTCATCTTACTGGGTCGCTAAACTCGTCAAACACAAAGTTGGGGCTGAAGTTCGCCATGCGTGCTGATTGGATTCTTGCAGCAATGGCGTCACCCGGGACGATATGTCAATCATTTAAACTCTTTCAGTGCTTAGATTCCAGCGAGATATGGAAACTCAACGTAGTAGCGAGCTTCATCGAAGCCCACGCAAGCAACACCGTGGGGCCAGCCGATTGAACGGCTTCACTGATGACGTCTCGCCCACATGTCCCTACATCCCTATACCGCGTTAGAATCAATGCTGTCTAGATCGTCCCTAGGCAGAATGTGAATACTCTGAACTTTCCCGTCGCAAGATTGTCGTTTGTAGAAGTTATAGGCGATGAAAGAGTGACGTTTCACAACTTTTGGAAGGAATTATTGGAGGCCAAAAATCTTTGCTTCGGAATCGAGGTGAAATTTGAACTTTGTGATATTGTGAAGCTGTGCGCGGTGTATGCGGCTTTAGAGGTCATCTTATGCCACCGTCAACAACGCTACCAGGGTCATTCAGAGGCGGTGTATGTAGTGACGTTAATAGTGTCTGAGAGATGAAGGGGCGACGGGGGATGGCGAGGTACGACCAACACACACACACAAAAAAATAGGGGTTTGGAAGTGCCATAGAAATTGTTTGGGAGAGATAGAAAGAGAGAGGGGGAGGGTAATGGTAGTGAAACGGGGGGAAATCCCTCCCCCAAATTTTGTATTATACCTTTCTGAAATGTCTGGGCACTATATAGAAGGCTATGGTCTGAGCAGCGGCTGACATGGGCAAGCACCTGGGTTAGCGCGGTAGGCTCGAAAATTATACTCAGTACTATTGCAAGTCTGCCATCTTTGGTCTTAATTGTAGGCTGATCTCCAATTTTAAAAAAGCTGTGCTGAGAAAGAGAAAAAAATGTGATCGAAAGAGCAGCAAACTTTGACTCGAGTCTAGTTCCAACGCTGCTAAAGAGCAGTTTTGGCAGTTTATCATATCAGAATCTTCAGTTCGGTAGGTTTATAAAGCTTGGGGGACGCATTTTTATTGATAGACGTGTTACTGTATATGCTGGTTTGGGCTGGCATTTTACGGAAATTATACTTATAGGCTAAATAAACTACCCCGTGTAAAAGTGGGAGGGAAGAAAGGCTGTATCCCAATTGAAGTGTTGTGCTAGATTCAGTTTTTAACCATTTTTAGTAGCCACTGTAAATTGAACCTACTCTGACCAGAGCCTTGTTTCTAAAAAGAAAGCTTTGTGTTTTGTACCCTGTTTTTATTACAAACGGTAATAAGTAATATGCTTCAGTATCAAAGAGTAACCCTCAACCCTACAGACCCTGCTACAAAAAGCCAAATGCCACTTCCATCATTGCATTCGGCATTGCACCATGTGATCCCAAATGGCCGAATGGAAGTGTGAAGTATAATCCACAGCAAGCACAAACTTAGGCTAGATGGTGATGCAAAATAATGAGACTGGCTGTCATCAGTGTTTGGTCTCGAGAGCCAAACATCCAGATATCAAGCAAGAAATTCACCTCTTGTAGAAATACTCTTTCGAGAATATGTGGTTAGGAGACGAGCACTATCTGACTGCAAACTGCTTCACTGGTATATCCCATTGGCTCACTGTGACACCATGAACTAGATACAGCTCCCCCAAAAAGAGCATTTGTTCCAATCACGAGATTCTTCTGCCCCAAAGTGTATACAAAGAAGCCATGCTCTCCTTCCTGCCCAACCAGGACGAAGAGAGAGAGGCTACCGAATATGTTTACTCCGGAACCCGTATTTCTACAAAAGCTGAATTTGCCTTTTTTCCCTAAATTTCAAGGCTCTCTGTTCCTATGAAAATGAAACCTTTGAGTGACATGCCGATGCAGACGGCCAAGTTGAGCTGACAGTCGTGTTCAGCGCTACTGTCGACAGGTGATGCCTCAGGTCATTGAAAACAGGCAGGATGGGTGAGCAAAGCTTTGGACAGCAGCTTGTCAAAAGCTTCACTTCACCTCTCATTAACCTCCCTGCACATGAATAATTTTAGAGGCAAGGTACGTTGGACAAGGATAATTCTGAATTTGATTGACCGCCACCATTGGGCCATTTTCTGATTGCGGCAAGTGGCACACAACTTAACTGTCGGCCCGTTGCCTCCGAGATTGCTGGTGCACAGAGCTTAATCCGGCCACTCTGTTTCTCGGGCGAGGCCGTAATGGAAGGGCTTGTGGTAGAGCTCCGACTAGGTTGGCAGCAGATTGTTGATTCGGTCCCATAGTGACTGCTGGGGAGCTCTTTGCACTGACAATCGTCCCGACATGCCCGTCACATCGGCATCAGGAGTTAAAATTTGCAGTGATTTCGTTTTCATTTTTTACAGGAATGGTGCTGTGCCTTGAAATTTTACAAGGTAAAACCGAGCACTAAAATACAGCTTTGATAAAACTTTCAGCCTACTCCATGGAGGTGCTGGTTAGAGGGTATCCAGATGTTTGTGCCACCCCATGTATTTCCAGTTTGTTTTAATGCGAAAACATTAACTGTCTCATGAAGCGAGCCAACGTCATCAGCTTTGAAACCGCGCCAAACGGCACCTTAAATCCTTTCTTCGAGTGAAGCCAGCTCCCAGCTATGAGACCACGCAAAAAGCTAGCCAATGGCACCTAACCCTGATCCCAAAGGAGCGGAGTAAAGCTGATGGATCTTTGGCTTCAGTCTTATTGGCTGGCACGCGTCGACGAGGTTCCCATTGGCCGTTGCGCGTCAGTTTCAACGACTGCCACCCCATGGCGCTGCATATCCGTCAGCGCGCCGCTCACCCAAAACGTCCAAAGTCAGAGCAGCGAGGAAAGGGGCCCTCTTCTCGCTGGCAGTGTATGCCGCTCTGCCATCAACGCAAATATGCTGCAGACGAAATAAGGGAGCAAAAGAATGACGTACATGCTTTCGCATTCACAACTCATAAGAAGTGCGTAGGTGTACCTCGAGTTTTTTTTTTTATTATTAATTTTGCATTTGTATTTTAATATGTTTGTCCAAGCCTGTGTCATAGGAAGATGCAGTGCATTCTCGAAGGAGGAGTGCTGACTAGTGACTATCTATAGCAGGGGTGGCCAAACCGTGGCTCGCGGGCCGCATGCGGCTCTTTCCTGGTCCAAGTGCGGCTCGCGGATTCCTCGTAAGGGGCAACCCCCCCCCCCCCCCCCCTTCGCCCCTTTCCGCGTTTCCCCAGGAAAATAAAGAGATTTCAGAATAAAGCACACTGCAGCTTGCAGTTTGACAGCCTTTTACTCCCATACGTACAGTCGTACAGCCTTATGCCCCCATACGTACAGTCAGACTCTGAACAAAAATTAAGTTTGCCCCCCCCCCCCCCCCCCGCGGCTCTCAGAAGTTCCATGGTTTTGTTTGCGGCTCTTAGGCCAGGCCAGCCTGGCCACCCCTGATCTATAGCCACCTTGGTTGGGGATGGCAGAGGAATGTCTTCAGATGAGATCACAGCAATTCCACTGGGTGCTTGAAACTAAAATTTTTGGAGATTCACATTGGTATTGTATTCTTTGTCTTGTATGCCTTGCATTTGCAGGTATTTGCAGGCAGGCAGGTTGACGATTTATGGGAGCTGAAATAATGTTTTTTTTTTATTGAAGTTGGCCTTTAATAATAGCCTGCTCATATTTGCAGGCTTCTCAATGCCAACAGCATATCATGCATCAGGAAGGATATGTTCCGAGATCTTCACAACTTGAATCTGCTGTAAGTGTATTGCAGCGCTTTTTGCTGTCTTTCTTCAGCTGGTAATGGCACTTTATTTCTGCTGTTCATGTGCACTCCAACATCTCCTGGAACAGGATATCTTACACACTAGTTAAACCGGAGATGAACGGATGAGAAGAAAGGGACAAACACACGCGTCTCAACTGCTGACATACTGTTAGCTGTTAATTGACATACAGGAACCGGCGTTGCCACTAGTTGCATTCTTTCTTCTGTTGCAGTCCTCAATTTGATAATTTTGCATGAAATAGGACCAGACAGGTATTCAGACAGCTTGCAACAAGGTGTCTTATGTCTCGAAATAAGTTGAGCTTCTGGACATATGAAAAGCAATATGAGACAGCATGCAATAATGCAGCATCACTCAGAGCAAGAAGATTCAAGTCAGAATACTTTGAAACTCGGGTGAGAACATACTATTCATTTTTTTATTTTAATTTTATAATTATTTTCACATTTCCATGTTTGCATACAGTGTGTAAGTTGACAGAGTGAGACTCGCTTTTCCAGAGCTAATTTTATTTTTGGTGACGATGCTTCGTGCAGCGTATGGTTCCTATCAGAGCCCCAAGTATGGTAGGCTAAAAGGGGGAGGTGTGAACGATTGCGCAGGTGAGAGCGGTCTCGTGATTCAGCATATGGAGGGAATTATCATCGCTAATTTGACGGCAGTGCCTTCCTGTGCTCCTAGTAAGTGGGCTTACCATGAGCACACGATGGCATTGTGACATTTGTGGCGCTACTCTCGACTTGCAGGTAATACTCTGCCCTATAATGTCAATCGCAGGACCACTCTTGCTCAGTGGGTAAAGCAAGCAATTGTCAAACCACCCCCTCTTAGTTCACTATACCACTATTCATTCAGCTCGCGTTTCAGCTTTCATGTTCTTTGTTCATCGTGTTTGCCTTGTTTACCATCAGCCATGACTCTCGGCAAAAAGCGGTCTCAGAAAAAGTATCTTGAAATGTTTTGACTTAAGCAGTGCACAGCAGAATTTCGGTATATTATGGAATGAAGAAAAGTCGAGCAATTTTCATTCTGCGCAGTTTGTGAATGCAACTACTGATCTCCACTAGGGGGCTGGATGGTGCATTGAGCAGACAGGTATGAAGCCACCGGAAGTAAGCGGCTTGTCCCAGAAGCGAGCACTTGACAGTCTTTTCAACTCTCCCGAGTGCTGGTTCATGGCACTGAAGTTTTTATTGTCATATCAAGAGAGCCTGCTTGTTATGCAGTAACCAGTGATTTCCCTACACTCCCCCTAGGGGGGGTGTACATCCCCCTTTGTTTTTCTGAAGGCACCCCCTTAATTCGCAACAACTCCTCTATTCCCAATGCCGCCGCCCCTCCCCCCTCTAACCTTCCGCCTAAGCATAAAAATTTAGACACCCACCCCTAATTTCAATTCCTGGGGAATTGAAATTAGCAGTAACCACGCATGCAGACCTGAGAAGTCTCCTCAAAAGCCATCCGGTGTGTACATTTTGAGACTCTAGTTAATCAAGACCTTATTATCGGGATTTAAATCAAAGCGGGATTTAAATCAAAGCGGGATTATTGAGACCCATCCAAAAGCACAAGAAAGCATGAACCAAAACATAGACTGAATACACTATGAAGCCCAGCAGACACCCGACTTCCAAGACAAGCATCAAACTTCCGGTGACTTCACCTGCACCAGGCTCGGAGAGCAGCTATGCGCCATCCAGCCCCCCTATAGTAGAGATCAGTGACTGCAACCTTAGCATTTCACATAAGATTGCCAGTCTCAGATTTGGCGCAGGTGTCACATTGGTTTTATACGAAATCCCAAGTTCCGACTGCCCTTTATCGGGACAGCCCCTGGATTGGGATCTGGTTTGCCATTCTTCGTAGTGCAATGCCAGGTTTGCAGATCAAGAACTCTCCACTCATCTGAAGTGGGTGTAGTTCTTAAAGAGTTGAAAGAGCCCAGAGGTAGCTCCTCGAGGTTGTTTTTTTTTTTTGGTGCCTGTCAGCTGTGCCTCACTGGGAAGAGTATTCCCTGGAATAAAAACATTTGTGGAAGAATGATGGTAACCACTTGCGTGTGGTACTCATTCGGGCAGTGCCCCAAATGATAATACCCGATGTCACATGCTCCCGTGTTCCCGCTAGCTGTGGTTAAATGATACATGTCATCATGAGGTGATATATTCACATGATCTAGGTTTTGCAACATTGTTCAGATCACTAAATTTGCACAACTTAAATTGTGAGAGATTAAGCTACTTTCGTGTAAAATGTCAGGATTTCCATGTGTAACATGTCTTGAAGCTGCCAGTAGCTGACTCAGGTATCGCTACAATAAGGAAAAGACTGATTTTGCCTGCTGTTTTCATTTATGTTCTTCTCAATCATAGCCTCCCACTAATCACCCCATTCTCTAGGCTGTCTGTTATTCTGTGTTCCAGTGCTGGCAGGTCTGTAAATAAACCAATTATTTTCTCACTTATTAATTTTCACATCATTCATGAAAAACTACTGGCACCCATGGCATCTGAAATTTGTCTTTCTCTTACAGATCTCTCTATGACAACAACATTCAGTCATTGGCTCCCGGCACCTTTGCATCCCTGCAGAATATCCAAACACTGTGAGACTATGAAAAATTCCTCATCATCGCAACACTCTTTTGTTATATGGGTTTTATTTCCAAGTCACTATACTTAGCTAATCTGTAGCTGTAGGTCAGAGCAGTACCACAAGCTATGAAGGAGCTAGTTCAAGGGCAGTCAGAATGTGGTTGATGTTGACGACACTGACAGAGGTCAGACTCAGCTTGCTTGAAATGAAAGCAGTCTGTCTTCTAAGGCAGTTTCAAGAGAAACCGTTCTCAAGGCAAGGAATCTTAATTGACTGTGCTTTTTCTTGAGGCTGTCTGTCCGCAAACTTTTGCCCACCACCATGCTTCCCACATGCTCCGAGTCTTTCTCAAATTTAGTGATTTGGTGGTTTTCGATGACACTCATTAAGTGTCTAATTGGAACCGAGATCCGGACAAAGTGGTCCCAGACAAAATAGTTCAGGACAAAATGGTCCCGGACAAAATGGTCCCAGTCAAAATGGTTCCAGGTAAAGTTTGCAGCAAACTAGTTTGCTAGCTCTTCTGAGGTTAGTCAATTGTTTGTACTACTAAATTCAAATAGAACAGAGACAAGAGACTGTATTACTGAATACCTCAGTTATGACATTTTAACCATTTTAAAGTTCATACATTCCATTTAAAACACCTTGCGCACCAGTAGCTGAGCCAAGAAAAGAAAAAATATAATATAGAAGTAATTATATACAAGTACATACATGGAATAATGTGTCCATAGCACGCCATTACAAATGTCTGGTATGTGCATAATAATCTCTTTGATTCATAGTGTACATGCAGTTTCTTTCTACTCTATTGTACTAATTCGCAATTTAAGAAAATACTTTCACAAGCTGCATCTATTTTAATCTCACACCTCTACTATACCCCGTTTCATACTTAAAGGAGCTGTGCAACGATTTTAACGTTAAAAGAATTGGCATCTTTTGCTTTTGATATTGTTCACCTTGTCACATATGACAGAAAACACGCCTCCTTTCATCGAAATGTTGCGATTCCGCCACATAATAGCGAGGCAAAACTTACAATATTTCCCGACCTGCAGCCGCGAGCGGTGGCCATGAGAAACACACGGCGTGATGTCAATGAGAAATCTTGTAGAAAGATAGCAAGTTGTGCGAATACCTGCTTAATAAAAGGTAACTTTTCTATAAATCTTGTTGTTCCAACATATATATAAATGCGTCAAAAACCTGGTATCATCGACAAACTTTTATTATACGAAGTTTTAGTGGCGCTATCTATCCTAGGTCCACAAAACCGTCAGCTCTGTCTGCTACCGCAAACAGCCGCCAGAAACCGGAGGGGGAGGGGGACAGGGCCGGACGGGTATGTGCGGACCCGGATGAAACTTTCCTCCTTTCACCATATTGTTCGCGCTGCACCCGCCAGCACCAGGTCACGCGGTCGCGAGCGGATGAGTTCTCGCTGCTCACTGATGGCTCTAAAGAGAGAACTTTTCCGGAACTCCGCGCCTACCCCCTCAACGTCACTGCGCATGTGACCCGGCTTGAGAGGCGGCAAAAACCTGGATCTTTTTCATTTTAGAGCGCAGCTCTTAGGCGCCTGTTTCCGGCTTGAGCGGCGTCGCCGTCGCCGTCGGCGTAACCGCGCGGTGCATTATGGGTAAATTTTCCCGAAGGAACCCGAGGTCCTCCCGAAGGATCTCGGGTTCCTTCGGGAGGACCTCAAGAGGACCTCGGGATCCTTCGGGAGGACCTCGGGTTCCTTCGGGTGGGCCTCGGGAGGACCTCGGGCTCCTTCGGGAGGACCTCGGGTTCCTTCGGGGGGACCTAGGGGGGGTCACGTGACGATGACGTCATCAGTGATGATGACGATGACGATGCGGATGCGTCACTGATGACGTCATTAGTGATGATGACGATGACGATGACGATGCGGATGCCAATGACATCATCGGCATCCACATCGTCATCGTCATCGTCACGGATGACGTCAGCGTCACGTGACCCCCCTGGTCACGTAACCCCCCCCCGAGGTCACGTGATCTCCCAGGCCACGTGACCCCCCCCCCCCTTCCGAGGTCAACTGACCCCCCCCCCCCCCCAGTACCCTTCCCTCCTCCTCCTCAAAAGCTGCGCTCTATTTCGGCGTTACAGGGAGTTAGTTGTAAACGGCTTTCATTTTTTTTTTAAATAAAAACTAGGGTATCTAGGCAAAATCTGTTTTTTGTAGTTCACTTCAGAAGTGTCAGGCATCAACTTCCACAATAATTTAAGCAAAGCCCTGAAATTGTTGCACAGCTTCTTTAAATACAACATTGTCAAAGTTGCTGGCGCGAGCATGGGGCTTGATCTTGTTGATCATTTGCATGTGTTCTCGTGCAAACCAAACCATAGATGAAGCCACGTGCTCGCGCCACTAGCTTTGTATACTAAGCAAAAAATGGAGTATAGGTTCACTAATGTAAAAATGCAGCCCACACTACGAGCTGATAGGACAGTGTTGAAAACAAAATTCACTAACATTTGCCTATCTTTTTGTATACGCTATCACCGGCACGCCCAATCAAGCGCAATGTGCGCATCGCGACCTCCTGCTTGTAGTCTACACGTAGTATCTAGCGACTTCTAGGCCCCAGCTTTGTGCAGGGCTCTGACTTATGCGAATAGGAGCCATAGAGCCGAGTAAGCGAGAATAAATATTTAATGAGCTTATGAACTCGTTTAGGTGTTTTCTAAAATATATAGTATACCGAAAATCTTAAATACCTCAAAACTACATATACATTACATGTGTGTTGAAAAAAGCTTCAAAGTAGCAGTTCACTAAAACTATTAAAGAGTGCCCGAAGTATAAAAAAATCACTTGGGACCGTTTTATCCGGGTTTACATATCGTCCGGGACTATTTTTTCTGAGACCATTTTGCCTGGGGCCTTTTTATCTGGGACCATTTTGTCCTACACCCATTGGAACCATACGTTTATATGGTTCCAATTGAATAATTGGAACCATTCCAACTGAATAACTGATTTTTTGGTTATAGAAAAAAAAAAAATTATTCAAAACTATTTAAGGGTTTAATTATCTGAAGTGCTATGTACTGCAATAAATTGCCCCCTCAGCGGCAGTGAGTGATGCATAGAATTTGCAGGAAAAGTTTGGCCGATGTTTAGTGAAACACCCGGTATAGGAAAGGCAGAAAATGGAAAATTTCTTTTGCTATATATCTGAGACTTAGAGGTACCCTCTGGAGCTTGAAATTAAAAGAAGAAGTTTCATTTCTCCGCATTTTCATGAATAGCCCTTTCTATTCATAATAACAATCTTTTAAGCATTTTTTTTAAGAGCCTGAGAAGGAATGACCTTACTGTTCCTCCCAAATGTTATGTCGTCTTGTTTCTTGGTTTAGTTTTGTCGATAATAGTTTTATCATTTTGGTAATGATGTATCATAATTAGAAGGGTAAGTGAAAGGTGCTACCTTTTAGTCTGGTCTACAAACTTACCACAAGTTCTTCTAGGCTGTCCTTTAAACACTGCCATCCTGCACCCTGTGAAAAATATAAACAAGCGTGTCGCAATCCTGACATTTCTGTCATTCAGAAACTAGAAGCTGCAGTGTTTTTTGGAAAGAAAGTTTCTGGTAGTCTCAGGGCAGCAGCCAGCTCATTATTGGTCAGTGTAGAGGGCAGACGGAATGGGGCAAGGGAGAGAGCGGATAGGCAAGGCTCTGTAGGGTCTAGGGGTGGGGATTGAGTGGGAGAGGACAACGTTATTGCAATGTGACCTTCCACTGCTGGTTTAGATGCAGAGGCAAGCAGGAAAACAAAGGAAAGGGGGCCCAGACGACATTGGAACGCAAAGAAAGCAGTAGAATCAGACTAAAAAAGCTAAAGGGGGAGACGACAGCGGAGAAAAGAGATCCAAAGGGGTCGAAGCACTGGTCTTTGTGAAAATCATCATAGAGATCAATGAGTTAAAGCAAAATAATAAAAACAAAAGGCATCACATGTTGAAATGGAGGAAGCATTCTGGACGAGGTAGATAAAATAAATCATTGATAAAGCTATTCTTGCTGAATTTCTGAAATGAAGAATTTATCAGCACTGGAGACTCATAGGATGAAGAGCTTATATTTGATTTAAGCCACTCTATGCTTCCAAGGTTCATTCGGAAAAGGAGTAGGGTATTGAACTTACGAGTGAAGTATACATTCAGTGTACTTTTTGTAGCAAGAAATGGCAGAATCACTTTGCAAGATGTACAATGTAAGCATTTCACAGTTTTGTCCTGGCTGGATCGGCTACACCTCCACGGGCTTAACCTCTTAATTGTTTTGGACGAGCCTAGCTTGTCAACGTGCAGTTGCCCCCAAACCATTCAGGATGAGTATAGCTCGTCCTGAATGGTTTGTGTCCTTCTTCTACTTTGTGTTTTTTAGGGGCGAAGCTCCTTAGGGTCTAGCCTTGTCCAGTGTACGTGCTCACATCGATTGCCATCCCATTTGTCTTCTTAAAAAAAGAAAAAATGTTTGCGCAGTCGACAGGATTCGAACATGTGCGGGGAGACCCAATGGATTTCTAGTCCATCGCCTTAACCACTCGGCCACGACTGCGGGACGAGTAGGGGGCTTTGAGATGTGGTAGTAACTCAAGAGCTGGGGTTTCTGTCATGGATGAAACGTTGCATGTAGCCGCTCAACGTCTATACAGAAGAGGGCACTGCGGTGAAATGCGTATATAATCGCGTTAAACTTTGCATGCATTGGCTCAACGTTTATAGATGAGAGGGCGCTGCAGTCAAATGCTCAAGTGCGTATATAACCACGTTGCATACCACACATTCTCTTTCTGACATAAACCGTTGACTTACCCGGTGGAGATGCGTTCCCATGACTTCTAGCGGATCCAAGCTGATCCGCTAGAAGAACCACAGGCTCTGCATTTCACCGACCATAAAGCAGTAATAATGAAGTAGAAACACAACCCAGAACTCAGCACTACCTATGAAAATAAAAATATCAGCACCATCAGCACTACCTGTGAGCAAAATCAGTATCATCAACACCACCAGAGCTTCGCCCCAATCAACATCATTCACCATATGGAGATGCGGTCATTTTTTTTTTTTTTTTGCACTGTTTTAATGCTATATGTTTACGAGTGTAGCTCATCTGATTTCCCCGGTTCACGCACTGAACTGTTTTGGACGAACCAGGCTCGCTCATGGCTAAGTTTGAGGCTTTGCCAACAGATGGCAGCACTGAACTTTAAAATGTTGCTCCCATTTTTTTGTAATTAGAAACTTGATTTTGAAGGCAACACATGTAATTTTGAAGACAACAATTAAGCAGTTGAAGGTCAGAAATTTCCCAAAACTAAAAGCAGTTAAGGGGTTAAAGCCTCGGGCTCTACCATTGATCCGTCTTGGCTGCCACTTTGAGACCACAGAGAAGTAGTAACTTCTTCAGGTTTTTTTAAAGCATGAAAGGCTTTCTAATGGACCCCCCCCCCCCCCCCCTTCCAATTCCAAACTTGTGTCTGTCCATTTGTTAGTGCATTTCCTGCTAAATTTAGGGGGGAAATGAACATTATGTGACCTGACGTTTCATGGCCTACACATCAATTCAGTCTTGATGCTAATTTTAGCGAGGAAACTGACGTCGAGACCTATATGCACTAGGGGTGTCGCGAACTTTTGTCAAACCAGATTTTTTGGTCGAACTTTCGGGGTTCGACTGGGTCGAACCGGTTCGACTTTGTGGACAGTGTGGCCAGACCTTGATACAAGCATGTCTAGGTTTGGAGAATTTTTTTTTTATGCAAAGGGTTATTTTATTGTGTGAACAACTGCAATTAAAAGAAACTAATTCTATTCACTGAAGAAGTTAATAACTTAAATTTTAGTACTGTATTGACTGAAATAGCCGATCAGCGCTGCACTTAATTCATCTCTTAGCCATTACCATCCAATCCGAAGCCAACTGGCCAGCCTGTCGCGCATGCGCACACGAGTCGAACCTCAATACAAGGTTCGACGAACTTTCCACTAAAAGTTCGAAAAAGTCTAACCTGGTCGAACTCGAACCGCGGCCGGTTCGCGACACCCCTAATATGCACCAAGTCTGTTTACCCACTGGAAAGGTTGACGTCACATGACCTATGCATCAGTACAGTTTCCCTGCTAAATTTGGTGTGGAAAATGATGTCACATAACCTATATAACTCTTAGTTTCACCACTAAATTTGGCGGAAAAATTTATAAAAACATAGCTTTTTTTCTTTACTTCCTCAAATCACTGTTTAATGTCTTGTTAACACATTTAAACGATCACTCTCGAAATGCTGCATTTTATGCATTATAGAACTTTGGTGATAAAGGTCGCTGCCAATTTTTCTTTACACAAGCTTCGGCCGCCTTCATGTTTTGTTTGAGAAGCTACGGTGCCATTCACGCTCGGTCAATCCCACCCTGTCGGTTTCCTCCAAACGAGAGAGAAATATCTCGGCAGCATAACACCAAAATATTAAAGCATACTTTTTCTGGCCTGCTGTCACCCTTTTGTGTCAGCGTTTGGATTGTGTGAGGAACTTGTTAAAAATACAGTGTAGACCGCATATAACGTATGTCGCGGGAGTCGCGAAAATCCGCACTATAAGCGGTACCGCGCTATAACCAAAACATCCATTTTTCAGGCCAAAATGCATGCCCTCAGACAACTTGCCTTTGTAAAAGAATTTATTTTATGTTCAATGAAAAATAAAGCTTAGTTTCTTTATTTCACCAGACTAGTACACTTCTCTCTCAAGTATGTCACACATTTTGAAAGAAATGAGCGACTTTTGCCTGGCGCAGCCTTTTAACGGCATCGCGGGCTGCGGACGGACGTTGCGAGCGTTCAAGATTGCTAACCCTAATCACTTTTCTCCGGCGATGAAAACGCGTGAAAATTCGCATCCTTTATACGGTACGCGCCAATAATACCTTCAACTTGAGCACAGGCATGAAATGCTCCAAATAAGAAATCCGGGCGATGTTCGAAAACACAAATGCTTAGAAAGCACCACTGTAGTCGAAGTAAACAAACACGACGACACGGGCGTTTCTGCCGTCTTGAGAGTGCCGCCACAACATCACCGCACGAGTAGGTGGATCTTCCCTTCTAGTACGTGCTGGGTTATCATAGCGACACACAACGAAAATTCACAGTCAAGGATAGCGCTTTTACGCGGAACGGTGAGCTTCTACCGCGCCTTCTACGTCGACGATCAAAACCGACGCCATGTTTGCGGATAGAAGCAGCCGGCCGCAAACGAACACTTCTCCTCGACCTGCGATTGGTCTGCCGTTGCGGTTGTTTCCAACGCAGCGGAGGGACGCACGCATGTGAACGACACGTGCATGCGTCCCTCCATCGCTATGGCAACTGAAGCCTCTCTCTTCTCTTCTCCCCGCTTCTTCGAGCAACCTCCTTGCCCCGCGAGTGCCGCTTGCGGCTCGCGCCGTTATCTAGTGTCGCACAGGGAAGCGTGCTCTCTGCGTCGGTCAGTCGGCGCGGTCGTTGGGCTGTTCCGAAAACCGCACTATAACCGGTATTTCCCTTCGCGCACCTGCACTTTAAAGGGGCCCTGCAATGACTTTTTGACTGGTATTTAATTTGCACTGAACCTGAGCGTACTGAACGTAGTAACTTAATCCAACTTTTCTTTTCTCAAATTTCGCTTTATTTTAAAAGTTATAGGCAAATTAGAATTACAAAAACAAGCAAAAAATAACCTCCTTCATGACGTCGTAGGTCCTGGCTTGAGTGGCCTTGAACTAGAGGAGGAGTGGGAGGAGTAGTGAGCTCATCGAGCGTACACAGCTGCTGCACTCCGTGTCGACGGCTCGAGAGGGCGCCACTAAAGCACGTGTTGGATACGCTGTATGAAGCGGGCGGCCAGGGCAGCTCGCATTGCATTTGCTGTGCGACTAATCACTAATTCGGCATAACACTTCATTGGCCACAAATGACAGCAAACACAGGGTAAAGATCAGTTCAGAACAGGAGCCACTTCGCGCTGACGCACCGCCAAATGGCCAAATCGCCAGCAGAGCCCGCGCCGAAGGCCTTCGGAACGCTCGGAACCGGTCGGATTCTTGAGCCGGTATACGACCACAGCGCCGCCGCATACATCCGGGTCCCTCCTCCGCTCATCGTTCGTCGTAGCCTCATCCCACTAGCCTTTTCTAGTATGCGCCGTTTTTTTCCGCCGCTTGGTGGCGGGCATGTCGACGGGTCATTTCTCGTTTCTGTACTTTCTAAACTGCATTTGTTTCTTTTCTGATCTAAGATAGTGAAGAAAAACTACTTTCATACATAATTGAAACTGTTCGCGACACTTTTATTTTGTATCTCGACTAAAAAAAAGCTCTTAGCGGCTTTGACCAGTGGCAAGCCCAGGACCAAAGACGTCACATTTTGCGCGCTTTCGGTACCGCGGGTCGCCCTCGTCGGTGGAGGAGGTTTCCGCGTCGTCCGGTTAAAATATGACGCACTGATATTTAGTTACTCTCTCCGTGCTCGCTGGCTTGCCCGAACCCCAAGAGACGTGGAAACCGCAAAAAAGGTAGATGCTTAAATATGATTGCAGGGCCCCTTTAAGCGGTATATAATTACATGGAGTTCTATGGGAGGAGAACCGGTGGTATAAAAAAGTCGCGTTATACCCGGTCCTGCACTATAAGCGGTTACGTTGTGAGTGGTCTATACTGTACCACTAGCCAAACGGCTAATTTTTCTGATTACCCGGTCAATAGGAAGGTTGGTGGGTCTCCGACTGGTGCTTGCTTGCACCCGAGTAGTTTGTCATGGAAGGGCCCAAATTTTATCGGATATCCCTGCCCCTGAGTGAAGTGCTTTCCCAGTTTATTTTAGCGGATCTAAGCCACCCACCAATGCATTAGTATGAGCCAAACACTTCCTAGTATTTGCATTATTGCTTGTAAGCGGCTTCTGAACTGCTTTACTGCATCAGTGCTGAGACTAAGAGGGGTTTCTCGGCTGTCAATCAAAAAAGAGAAGCGTTCTCGAGATTGAAGAGTTTGAGAATCCCCGAGCTAAAAAGTAAGTGCCACCTGCAAGTGCCCGGGAGTTCCATTTCGTATTTTGCACGATGGTGGTTCCACATGAGTCTGTCTTTGGCACCTTGAGCACACCTGTTTGGAGCCTGTGGGCGCCAACTGGAAGCTAGCAGTTTGTGCCATGCAGGCACCTGGCACGTAATCCTTTCATCTGCGACTGCAACCTGCGCTGGCTGGCCACCTATCTGCACCAGTACCCCGTGGAGACGAGCGGCGCTCGGTGCGAGAGTCCCAAACGCATGCATCGACGCCGCCTCACCCTCCTCGGAGACTCCAAGTTCAAGTGCAAAGGTTGGGCTGGGGCCCCCATAGGTGGCAGCTTGAGCTGCCAGGGTAGCGACACTTGGCAAAGGTACTAAACGCATGACACCAGCGCTGGTGACCTCCATTTTGATTCCAAAAAATATTGCAGCAATGGGATGTTTAGCAGCACCTAGCGTGCCCTTTTACCATTTGTTCGAGTGCATCGATTTAAATTAGGGATGCGGTACGGTGATGCGATCAGTATAGATGCAAATTAAAAAAAAAAAAAGCTAACTGAACTTTGACAAAGAAGAAGTTTACCACCACGAGCTTGGCTCGTTGAAAAAGTTTCCCAATGGAGTATTGTCGGAAGGCAGGATTAGCGGACGACACCCGATTGCTGTACAAGCTTGCTCGGCAACCCTTTGCAATTTTTGGCACAGTCAGTATGAAAAACGAGCAAGGCCTGACTATTACCACGGGAACAGACCGACCATTTGTGCCGAGAGGCGGCACCAAGAAAGCGTAGTGTTACACCTAAAGCTGTCGTATACGGTGGCTCTGGGTTGGACGGGGGAAGGCGCGACGCCCCAAGCTCTCCGTTGCGCACGCTCGCAGGGTCAGAGGAACACCGGACCCGACTGGCTGGAGACTGCATTGTGGATCGGGACTGCCCGGAAAGCTGCGTTTGCGAGGGCACCATCGTCGACTGTTCTCGGAAGAGCCTCCGGGAGATCCCCAGTGACCTGCCCACATTCACGACCGAACTGTGAGTTGCGCTGGCCCCAACCTAACAATTCCTTCATTGCCAGATGACGCAGCCGTTAGTGCCAGTCAGGTCGTTTCTTGCACCATAAAATTTTCCCCCAGCAAGTTATGCCTTCAGTGAAGTGGCAATTTTGCTCAAAATTATATTTTAACGATTGAATCACCGAGTTTGGGCACTTGAGAAACCTCGGCGGTCCTTGCACGATTCCTAGGATTGTATGAACCCAGTTGGAGGATTTAATTAGCTAGACCAGGTGACTTTGAGGCTTCAAGGAACACCTGTCTGCTTTGAGCGACAACTGAGGAATGACCTCAACATTGTTTCAAGAATGCAGTGGCAGGCAGATAGAATGCCTGCATCATAGTTGTTCATCAATGCATGACTCAGAGAGGCCAAGGTAGCTTAACTGGGACAACACTTCACTTGGGGGTAGCGACGATTGAGTGAATTTGGGTGCTTGGAAGTGCACAGGAAAACCCCTGGGTTCGTCCAGTTCGAGAATTCATGCCTCTCGACAATGGGAGATATGCAGCCTAACACAGACTGATCCAACAGACTACAGAATCAGTTTAGCAGCTAGGTACAAATGACCTCATTGACTAGAAGGATTCAGCTTGACACTGGACTTGTTTGTGAAATGGACTTAAAGTTGTTCCTCAATCAAAAGTAACATGAATTATTCAATCTCAATTTTGGTTAAACCAAACAACTAAACGCTGACTATGCATATGAATTATCCACCAAAGATAGGACTGTTTGCAATGGACTAATAAAAACCGTTTCTTTGCAGGCGCCTTAATGACAACCACATTACGAAGGTTCGAAACAGCGGGATATTCAAGAAGCTACCAAAGCTGATCAAGCTGTGAGTGCATCTACAGCCATGCTTGACGACACATAGCTCAGATGCCATGTTTTTCCCAGAGACCTGCGCAACAACGCCATTGCTGACATTGAGGACAATGCCTTCCTGGGAGCCGAGCAACTGGCTGATCTGTGAGTGGAACTCCTGCTCTGCTCTGTGCACTCTTTTGGAAACAAACATTTTGGCACCTGCTATCCTTGTGCCAGTTCAAAACACGGCATAATGGCTGCCTTTGCCCAGGGACTGTGTCAGGAAACGAGCGACTCGATTGCACTGCATTTTTTCTGACAGTCACTATAGGTCCTTTTGGATAGAATTGCTGCTGAGCTGAGCGGTTTGCTTATTTAAGTCCCTCATCCCATTTTATCACTTATCCGCTTCCCTCAGCAGCAGAATGTTTGAGTATATACTCAAACAAAATTGCCAAAAATGAAATCTAGCGACACAAAAGGAGGTATCTTACCCCTCTTTCTGCTATCTAGAAACTCTTGGCTAATGACTGCTGTTCCAAACCTTCCAAATTACATGTAACCAGGATTTTATATAGGGAAGAAAGAGAAAAAAATGCATGTGAGCTGGTGAATGACATCTATCGTGAACCCGAGACAGAGGAATAATAAAAAAAGAACAGAACAATGTTGACTTCATTGTTCTCTCCGTTTTTTTTTATTATTCCTCTGTCTCGGGTTCAATAGGCCAGGTACATGGATCGGATATTGCTGTTCTTTCTGAAGTGGAACGCTGTGGAACTGTATCTCTCTCCTTTTCCTTTCCTGTCTTTAAGACCCTTATGGCTGGGGACACTGGGAACTCACCTTGGAACAGAGCAAACATGCTTTTCTTCATTTTGGCTCCATAGTACATACAACTATACTTTGTTTCATTTTATGTCGGAGAGCAGTCAAAGGATATAGAACACGGAGAAACACGGACACAAACTAAAAGCGCAAGGTCACAGCGTATTCACTGCACTTCATTGGTTTAGCCGATGCCGGCGCATGCAAAGAAAGATTAGAAATGCCTCGACCCTACACTTTTGGCGCTGCTTGATTGGACTTGGCGTGAAACAAAGTATAGCTTCTATTTCCTGGATTCGGCCTAGTAACACGGCTGTAACATTGGCTGGATGGCTGATGTGTTGCTCTTACTTTGGGAAGTCAATGTTTTTCCTAAAACTAAGCTAGCCAATGTTTTGTGTGTTGAACTGGGATGCTCGGTGCCTCCAAAGACCTTCAGGGGGCATTATATACTATTAGGGTTGTGCGAATGTTCAAATATTTGAATAGTGCTAGGTAGTTTCGAATAATATGCCATTCTATATTTGCTTCGATTTGAACTGGGATGTTCATATTTTTGGAAGTGGCAGGTTAGCCCCGTTGAGTCCGCTTTTGATGGCCGATTCAGATGCAAACCAAGTACCATGTGACCGTCACATCACCGATTCCTGCGATTCGAGCCTCATCCGCAGAAGCGCGGACTGAAATGGCCGAGCACCCATTCTCTCGTGAAATTTTGGCGGGTTATTGACTCAAAAAGGGGGGCGTTTAACTGGCAAGAGTACAACATTTTTTTTTTTGTTTTTGGACAAGCAAAACAAAGATGGCACATCATTGTGTTTTGTGCGTTCGCTGATTCATTTTGTTGCGCGATTCTTGGTTTCATGCATGAAAGAAGCCTCAGAAGGTTTGCCCGGCTGACGCGACGCAGGTCCCAGTACTCCCCCGGGTCCGTGTCGAGAAGCTTCTGTCAAAACTTGTCGAGCACGCCATAGTCTTTTTTGCACATCCAATCAGCCTTTCATCCAGCAACACTTTCTTGGGGCTGTGGTGTACTGAAGTGCTGTGCATGAATGCATCTCCAAACTGGTGGCCGATTAGAAGCGTGCTCAACAGGGCTAACCCACCATGGTCAGCACTTCGAAATGTATAAATATTGCAGTCGTCACGTGCTTAGGAGAAAAGCACACTTTAAAAGCAGGACGGTGCATACACGTCCAGCGTGTCCCCCCAAAAAATTTATTATGTTTCTCACCGCAAAAATAAACTATGCATCGCTGAAAGCTCATTCTCTGCCCAAATATAGTGCTAGCGGTCTGAACCAGATGCTAAAGTTTCAGAACTAATCATTGTCTTATTCAATAGTTGCAAGTGATATTTTTTAAAATTTCAATGGGATAATAGGGTCCATTTTCATCTGTTTTCGGTAACTGAAGCCATAGAGCATGTATTCATGAGCTCTGTCGGCCACCATTTTCCCATTGAAAATTTCAAAAAATTATTTATAACTTTTGAATAAAATAATGGTTAGTGCTGAAACTTTGGCATCTGGTTCTGACCACTAGCACTACGTTTGGGCAGAAAATGAGCGTTTGGCAATGCATAGTTTAAATTTGCAATAAAAAAACCCTGTACTGTAAATTTTTTTTTTCAGCACTTTGTGTAAAAAAAGAAATGGAAACTTTGTGAATGTTGAAATCTACATTGCAGTAAAATTTTCAAATCTGAACTATGCCTATAATGTTAGGCAGAGGTGCCCTGACAACACTGCATTCATCATTAGTCATTGTCCTTTTTTTAAACTTCGAGATTGAAAAAAGAATACTTGTATATAGCAAAAATATTTATAAATGCAAATAGATTCTCGAAGCCTTTCACTATATTGTTGCACCATGCTTAAACGAAAACCCAGCTCAATTCGTGAAGGTTTTTCCCAAACTTCCACTTGTCCATTTGCTACTTTTAATCTAACTACAGGGTGATTCAAGGAGATGCCAGGCTCTTTAAATCGACCGCAAAATTCAGTTTCTTAATCTATCGCGCTACGACTTTGTGCAGCGTTGCCCACAGATGGTGCATTTTTTGGGGGAAATTCGCAAAGAGCAAACTTACCTGAGGAAAAAGTAAAGAAAGAAAAAGGCTTAGCTCCTATGGAAACGCAGCGACGCCACCAGTCTTCAAACAACACGGCGCCATTTCGCACGGTAGACAAGAGAGGGCGCAATGAACGCCGCCAACGAACGAGCATACGGCGTCGAGAGCCGGCGTATTTAGCAGATGTTCTTTTCGACTCAAAAGCGGCACGCGTTCCGCAGGCGTCGACAGTCGCAGAAACAAAAATAGGCTCGGTAACAACAAGGAACTGCAGTTTCTTGTCTGCTAAAGACGCCGGCTCTCAGCATCGTATGCTCGTTCGTTTGCGGCAGTTGGCGTCGTGATCGCTTGTGCCATCTCTTGACTCCCGTGCGAAACGGCGCCGTGTTGTTTGAAGACCGGTGGCTTCGCTGCGTTTCCATAGGAGCTAAGCCTTTTTCTTTCTTTACTTTTTCCTCAGGTAAGTTTGCTCTTTACAAATTTTACAAAAAAAAATGCACCATCTGTGGGCAACGCTGCACAAAGTCGTAGCGCGATAAGTTAAGAAACTGAATTTTGTGGTCGATTTAAAGAGCCTGGTGTCTCTTTGAATCACTCTGTATATTTATGGACTGACCTCGGAAAGCTTGATGCCTTGGATTGGCAAGTAAAGGACGGATTTGACATAAAATTATCAGGGCATCTCTGCTTAACATATACACTTGCATTCCAGCCACAGTTTATTTCTGAAAATTTTTCTCCAATGTAGATATTAACATTCACAGTTCCCATTTCTTTTTGAATACACCAGGTATGTGCGTGCACCATCTTGCTTTGAAAGTGCTTTTTTCCCATGCACTCAATTGTGATATTCATACTTTCCAAAGTGTTGATCGTGGCACGTTAACCCATTGAGTGCGCTTCTTACCGAGCACCGATGCACTGCGGAGAAGCGACACCTGCGGAGCTCGCTTCCGCGGGTGTTGCTTCTCCGTAGTGCACCCGTGCCCGGTGAGAAGCTGCGATCAACACTTAGAAAAATATGAATATTGCAGTTCATCTCAAAGTGAATATTGAATAGTGTACTATTCCAGACTATTATTAGAAATTTTGAATATTTGCCCAACACTAATAAATCTCTTCGATTAGGTATAGCTGGGCATCTCTATAGACCTTTTCTGCAAGTGCGCTGCCATCTTGAATTGACGTCACTTCCAGTATGGGCGAAAACATTGTTTTGCCTTTGCCACGCCAATGGAAGGCATTTCGGATATAAATGTAACCGTCACACTTTCTCGTTTTGCCTCCCTTTTATGTTTTCCCTATTTGCAGGTTGAAACGTTGGATTATTTTTTCATCGCCCATACCGGATACGCCTATTAGGTGGCTGGGGACGAGAGTACACAGAATAGGTTCAATTTTACGTCAAATGCGTCATTTACTTGCCATCCCAATGTAGGCATTAGACTTTCTGAGGCCACAGTTCATAAATATAGTTAGATTAAAATTAGCTTAGAAATGAACAACTGTAAGCTTGGGAACCATCTTCATGAGTTCAGCTGGGCTTTCGCTTAAGCATGGTGCAGTAGCAAAAGGCTTGGAGAAACTATCCAATATTCAATATGAAAATATTCGTCCAAAACCACTATTCGCTTCAAACTCAAAATCCACTATTTGTACATGCCTACATACAATTGAACTTCGATTTAACGAAACCCGAGTTTACAAATTTTCCGATTTGACCAACAAATTAGGATTCCCCGCACAGCCTATGTACGAGGCCTCCCTTCCTCAATTTTACGAAGTTCCCGATTTAACTAAATAAATAGCAGGTCCCGGTGACTTCGTTAAATTGAGGTTCAACTGTTCTATAATAATCATTTTCGTAATCACAAAATTGAACTAACAAAAAGAGCATAGAGTCACTCCAAACAGAGCTACAAAGTGTAATATTTAGTGACCCTGGTTTTGTCTAGAGCCACTGAGTTTTCCCAGAGTATCACATTTCATACGCTTGACCAGAAGTATCGACCCAATCGAGGTTCTGGTGCTACTTCCCTTCCAAGTAGTATCTTTCTCGTAATTCATGTTGCTAAATTTATGCCGCAGAACAATGCTTGGTTTACTCAGAACAGACATACATACTGGTATTCATATTTTGTCCACATTGGGGCAGAAAACAAGTGACGTCTAGCTTCGAGTGTACTCTGAACTTCTGTAGCATTTCAAGCTTTCACAATTTTTCACCTAGTTAATTCATGCAAGTGCTTCGACTTCATCAA